AGGGGGGAGCAAGCCAGCGCCATCGGCCTCTGTTAGTGAAAATCAGAAGGGGGGGGCTTGGTCGGTGATAACGAGGAAGGGCATGGAAACACACCCCCCCCTCCCCCCACCTTGGCAATCCACCCATGATGTTCCATTGCATGTTGGGCAGGATCTGATAAAAAATCTTGTCCAGGGTTACACACCGACATCGGGCTTTGAACGAACCCCCGGCAGTGTGCTGAAGGCTGCCGAGGGATGAAGCATGTGGGGAGCTAAGCCAGCACAGCATGAGCCCCCATTGAGGTTGGCAGCTTTGCAGTAAATTGCTGCAATGCGGTCAAAGTTGCGAAAGTTGGATAAGAACAAGCATCATCTTAGTATCGCGGTTGAGAGGTATTATTATTACTTGTAGTCTACTTGTATCTAAGGAGTTAAGTCTAATATCGCATCTTGTTCCCTTGTTCCCAGCACTGTATTGAAACCACATCATCACACTCGTTACCCTTCCCATGCCCAGGGCCAGCCAGTCTAATTACATGTGCATCAACGGAGTTAACGGTGTTTTCCTAGAACGATCAGTACCTATTGTTTCAAGGGTTCTGCCCCCCCCCCAGAGTGGTCTTGGAGGCATCGCAGAGCGCCCGAAACAGACTGTCTGGCTTGGAATAGAGCTCTGATACGCCGCCAAATTCGGCGACCCGCCCATTGTCCATCACGGCGACCTTGTCGCAGGTGGCAACGATGGTATCCAGACGGTGAGCCACAGTAAGAACTGTGGCATCCCCAACAACCTCATTCAACATGACTTGAAGCTCCGCATCAGCCCTGCCATCGATGGAAGCCGTGGCTTCGTCCAAAATAAGAATCTTGGACCGCCTCACAAGGGCGCGGGCGATGGATATCAGAGACCGTTGGCCATGGGAGAGATTGGCGCCTCCCTCCTTAACTTCCGAGTCCAGTGTCAGGCTCTGGCTGCCGCCGTTAGGGTCGCAGTCCTGGTGGTTCTTCTCTTCTTTGCCTGAACTATCCCCAATGTCCTTATCTTGACCACTTGAACTTGATCCGTCAGTATCCGGTGTGCTACCGGCGAGTCCAACTCTTCGCAAGCACTGGCGCAACCATGCATCATCATACTGCTGGAACGGATCCAGGTTGTACCGGATTGTTCCGGCCAGGAGGACGGCATCTTGGCTGATGACGGATAAGCTGGACCGCAACAGATGCAAACCAACCGTGTGAATGTCAACTCCATCGATGAGAATCCTGCCGTTTGTGGGCTCTACCGTCCGCAGCAAAGCGGATATCACTGATGCATGGTGAGCCAACGGGTTATAGCCAACGGGTTACAAAAATGGAGTTTAGATTAAAAAGGGACTGGATTGGGTACTCACAGGTAGTCTTTCCTGCACCGGTGCGTCCGACAACACCGACCTTCTCACCAGGCTTTATGTCCAGCGTGACGTCCTTGAGGGCCGGTTTCAGGCCAGGACGATGGCTGAGCGTCAGTGCCTCAAACTGCACATGACCAGCCCGCGGCCATCCGCTAGCCTTGAGGGGCTTATCCACGCCGTCGGCCTCGTGTGCGGGCTCCTGCTCGATGTTGTAAGCGTAGTGGAGCATTCTCTCAACTGAGTTCATGTTGTTCTCGATCTCGGCGCTCTGGCGGATCATATTTCCAAAGACCGCCTGCGCCGTGACCACGTACGACAGCACCACCCCCCCGGACGATGGGGCGATGGTGTCTCGGAGTCCCACAACAAGCAAGGCCGTGGCCAAGACGAGTGTCGCGCCGCAGAGGTCGAGGCGGAGATTCAGCCAGCGCTGACAGGCTACCGACATCCAGTAGGCGGCCGCCTCGGCGTTGATGCTGCGGCCGTTGTCGCCGACGAAGCGGGCCACGGCGCCGAAGGCCTTGAGCGTGGGTAGGCCGGATAAGGACTCGCCAAAGTGCTCGTAGATGCGGCTGCGGAGCAGGTTGTTCAAGCGACGCAGCTCGCGCGAGGAGGGCCGGTAGTACATGCCGGTCCAGATGTAGACGAGGAGGAGGGCGGCGGCAATGGCGACAAAGGCAGGTACCACAATGGTCACCACGATGATGGTGCCCAGAACCTGCACTGCTGTCGAGATGAAGAGCCGCAGTGTCTCGCCCACGACGTTATCCACGGCGTCGACGTCCTTGCTGAACCGGTGTGTGATGCGGCCTTGCGGTGTTGTGTCGAAGAAGGCTACGGGTGCGTGCAGGACCTTGGAGATGGCGGCGTGATGAAGTCTGTTCGAACACCAAAAGCAGAACAGGGCAAAGGTTGCGCTCATGCAGAACAGGCCGAGGGACTGCCCAATACCGAACGCCGCATAACCTCCCATGTATGCGTCCTCCGAGATGGATGTGTATTTGTTATCCTGCCACCAACTCAACCACAGTGGCGAGACAATACTGGTTCCCTGGTATGTTATGATGGCCGCGAGGAAGAGCGGCACAGTGAGCCGGGCGTTGCCCATCTTCACGTAGCGAGCGTAGGTCTTGCCGCTGACAGAACCAACAAGTCTCTCTTCCTTCTGCATGATCTCTTTGCCTCGATCCTCTCGCTTTCCCTCCAGTTTCGGGGCGACAATCCTTTGGCCCTGGTCTTGGTCATCGTCCTTGTTGTCGTCCTGCTTTTGCACATCCTTTACGTCGGCTTCCGGGCGTTGCGATTCCTCAGAGTCGCTCCCATGCCGAGTTGAGTCCGAATCTGAGTCTGCTCCCGATGATGAGCCAACAAAGAGAGACAAGGGCCCCCCACCAGCGACCAGAGACTCATATGACCCCTGTTCCACAATCCGACCATTCTCCATGTAGACAAGGTGGTCTGCCTGCCTAGCGAAGACCATGGAATGTGTCACCAGCACAACGGTGGCCTCGTTGTTCTTCCGTGCCCGGTTGACGACCATGTCAAAGACCCGAGCACCGACATGGGCATCCAGGGCAGAGAAGCAGTCATCAAGAAACAGCAGAGGGCTCCGACCATAGATGACCCGAGCAAGACTGATGCGCTGCTTCTGGCCGCCGGAAAGGGACACGCCCATCTCGCCGACGACGGTCATGTCACCCTCGGGCAGCCTTTCCAGGTCTGGGTGCAGACAGCACCGCGTGAGCACCTCCTCGTACCAAGCCAGATCCAGGGGCCTGCCGAAAACAATGTTCTCCCGCACCGTCTCGCTCAGCAGCCAAGCTGTCTGCGGGGCAAAGGCGAGTTGGGATGACGACAACGAGTTGCCGTGGTTTAGTCGACATGAGCGCGCCTGGACGAGCTGCATGTCTCCCAACAGCGCCCTGAACACCGAGGACTTGCCTGATGCCACGGGCCCCACGATACAGACGAGCTGGTTCTTTTTCACGACCAGAGAGTCGAGGTATAACCTCGGGCTCTCGTTCGTAGGCACCTTCGGTTCCTCAGCGTCGGTATCAGCATCCTCCGCCATCAGCTCAGCGTCATCATGATAGGCAAACGTGGCATCCTCAACCTGAACTGCCACATCAGCCGAAGGGTCATCCCCTGCTTTTTCGTCAAGCTCCGAGTCTCGGCCATATGGCCCAACATTCCCAGCAGGCCCCGCGTCCGATGCCCGCATAAAGACAGCCAAGCGCTCCAGCGCAGCGCGAGCATCGGCGATGGCAGAAAGCGCCGTAGGCAAAGCCTGCAACGGCGTCCTCAACAACAGGAAAAAGGCAAGCGCAGAAAAAACAACACCCGCCTCCATGCCATTCTCATTCGTCGCCCCATAGCACACAATGCTCGCCACAGCGGCCAGGGTCGGCGCCGTGTACGACACGGCCGTGTTCAGCGCGCGGAGCAGCATCCGCTTGCGGATGTAAACCACCTCGTCGGTCCTCAGCTTCCTGATCTTCTCCAGCACGCTCCTCTCGTACGCATTGGACTTGACCAACCGAATGGTCGACACGGCCTCCACCACGGCCTTCACCCGCGCGTCGGTGAAAGGCATGCTGGCGCGGCGCAGCCGCAGCAGCCGGCGCACCATGAAGGTCTGCAGCGGGTACAGCAGGGCCAGCAGGCCGAACCCCGGCAGCGCGCTGTAGCCGAGCGACCAGGCCGTCAGGGCGAAGCACAGCATCATCTGCAGGACGCTGGTCCACGCGGCGTGGAAGAAGCCGCAGCAGAAGTCGACGCGGGTCACGTCGGCGCTCATCAGGCTCATCAGCTTGCCCGTGCCGAGGCCGTGGCGGAGCTTGGCCGGCTCGGTGAGCTGCGTGGTGGCGCGCCGGTAGATGGTGTGCATGAGGGCGCCGCGGAGGAGGATGCCGGTCGTGTAGGAGCGGTAGAAGCCGTGCACGTTGGAGGTGACGGAGAAGACGAGCAGGACGAACAGGCCCACGGCGTAGCCGAAGCCGGCGCGCAGGGCGTGCTGGGACGGGTCGGAGAGCGTGTTGATGAGGAATCGGATGAGCAGCGGCGAGAGGATTTGTGAGAGGTCGCCGGCCAGCTTGAAGAGACCCCCGAGCCAGAACCAGCGGAAGCAGACGCGGTTGAGAGCAAGAGCCAAGACCGTAGCGTCGGTTGTGCGCCTCGCCCAGAAGGGCCTCCATGACAGGAACCCGGATGAGGGCGCTCGATTCCCATTTTTCTGCAAGCTTTCGATCCAGTACTTCTCCAGTTGATCGGCGTGGTCCTCGGCCAGCCGATTGTTGGGCATGCTATACAGATCGTCGACTTGAAGAGGCCTCGTGTAGCCGGTCCTTATCGCAGGACTCAGCCAGGCGAACATTAGGATAGACAACCAGCTCGCCGTCGACTCTGGCAACGGGAGTTTTTCCCCGACCGCAGTGGTCCCGCCATTCTCGTTCCCCACGTCGCTCGGGCCAGAGTTCGAATGCAAGTTCCGTACCGCCAGTCGCGTCTTGATGGGCGCGGTGGATAAAAACGGCACCTTTCTGTACCATTTCCGGGGAGGGAAAGACTCCCCGTCATGGGTCGCCATCTTGGGCACTGCCGTGTATATGGTTCGGGGCGGTGGCCTGTGGCGTTTCGAGGAATATCATGGAGTTGGCTCCCGGGCACGTGTCTTGGGCGTCTTCTCGGTCAGTCCAGTCCTCATCCCTTGTTTGTGGCACGCATCTATCCATCGTACCGATCAAACAACACGTGTGCTGGGACCGTCGGCAAGTCTGAAAATCCTTCCGATGACGGACCTCCCGCGCTGAACGCGGGAGTTGTCTCAGGCCCAAGAGAGGGATCTGCGCTTCTTTTTCCCATATGAGATGGCCCATGGTTCTTGGCTTTCGGCTGCCAAGGGGGGCTGGGGCAACAATCAGATGATCTGATTATTTGTCGCACCGACGAGTCATCATGGTTCCGGTGGAGCTGTTGTTCCCGCGTGAAAACCTTGTCCACCCACGTCGCCCACCCCCCGGGCTCTGCAGCAGCCGTCAAGTGGAGCGTGCGAACCAAAGCTGGCAGTGGCTGGATCACCCTGCTCAATTGGTCGCGCGAGCCAGCCCGGTACCTGAAAGCGCCCAGTTCTGGGCTCGTTCGGTACTTTGTCCCCCAAAAACTGGGGTCTTGCGAAACGTTCCCTTTGAACTGCAGCATAACACCTGCTCATCTAAACCATTTTTGGCGAGTTCTCTGACCATTTCCTGAGCAGCATCCGAGTAGCGCTTGAGCAAGATGGCTAGGGGTGGTGCGGGTGACTGGGGTTGGTGAGGGCAACTTTCGGGTACATGTACGAAGTACATGCACAGCACACAGTAATTGAAGCAACAGAGTCCGCTTTGCGACTGGAGGCTACTTCCTGGATCAACCACCGATTCACGGATCGACATCGAGGTATCCAAAAAAAAGATACCTAACAAGCTTGAATCTTCTTTGCACCGGGTAACCTACCTAACTTTCCAGCACATCCCATCCCCACCATGTCCTTCCAGAGTTATCTACATGCATGTACAGCGGCGGTTCGATGATTCCTCGCCGTTTCCCATCGTCCGCTCAATACCTACCTCCGCTACAACGCCGGTATCGAACCGCTTGGCGAGGTGCTCCGTCTCAAGCGCTTTGTTGTTGACGGCGTCCTTTTCGAATCCGGCAATGGCCTTGTACGCCGCACCGATGCTCTCGAGCTCATCCTTGGGGATGACATCGTACACGTTCGTGAAGCCGTCCGGGGCCCGCTCGTGCGCCAGTTGCAGCACGTGATCCGGCCCGTTGGCACGGTTTGCCATGACGATTTGCGAAGTCGGAGGCAGGCGGTCGTCCTGGTACGCTGTCAGCGCGGCCTCGACGACTCCCGGCTGCTGCCACGTTGTGACGGTACCGGCCAGGCGGGCGGCCAGCGTCTCGGCGTCAATGATGGCTTGCGTGGCACCGTTGCTCCCAATCGGATACATGGCGTGGGCGGCGTCGCCCAGAAGGGTGAGCCGCCCAAAGGTCCAGCGGTCGACGGGATCGCGATCGCACATGGGGAATTCGAAGACGTTCTCAGTGCTCTCGATGAGCTCCGCCATCTGCAGCCCGCCGCACTCCCACTTCGAAAAAGGGCCGGAGAAGCGCTCCTTGGGCACGCGCTTGGTCCAGTCCGTCGGCGGCGGCGTCACATCGGGGTCGTTCTCGTCACGCACCCGCAGCTCGGCGATCCAGTTCACGAGGGAAGCACCGCGCCGCGCCGCGCGTCCGCTGATGGGGTACGCGATGAACTTTTGATTGGCGTGCCCGGCCCACACCATGGATGCGCCGGTCAGGTACGGCGCGCGCTCGACGCATCCGCGCCACAGCATGCGGCCGGAGAAGCGCGGCGGGCCCTCGTGCGGGTACAGCAGCCGTCGAGCCGTGCTGTTGATGCCGTCGGCAGCGATCAGCACCGCTGCCGTCATGGACGGGATGGCAGGCAGCTCGCCTTTGGGCGCGCCGCGGCGGATGAAGCGTGCGGTGATGGAAGACGCATCCTGCTCATAGGCGGAAAAGGCGTGGTCGAGGTGCACGCGGTCAGAGCCGATGCGGGCCTTGACCTCGTCCAGGAGGAGCATCTGGAATTCTCCCCGGTGCACCGAGATCTGCGGCACCTTGTAGCTCGCGTGCCGGCCGCGGGGCTCCGACAAAATGGGGTGACCATGACGACTGTAGAAGTTCAGCTCCTGCGTCTCCACGCCGACCTCTCGCAACGCATCCAGCAGTCCTACAATGATTGTCAGCTCCTACCTCCTCCTAAAAATATTGGTGGCCTCCGGATAGCGGTACGACGGCGTCTTCTTCTGCCGGCTGCACGGAAAGGGACGGACCGAGGCTCACCCAGATTGCGCAGGATCAGCACCGCCGATGGCTGCACGTTGATGCCGACCCCAAGCGTGGTAAGCGTCGAGCTGGCCTCAAACACGTGGATGTCGCTGAAGCCGGCGGCGTGCAGCGCGAGCGCGGTGCTCAGACCGCCGATGCCGGCGCCGGCGATGATGATGCGGGGTTGCGGATCCGAGAGGAACGGCATGGTGCACTTGTGGGCAGGCAGCGCACAAGACTGGACTCGAGTCACACTCACGGGACCTTATCTGGGTGCGATACTGGTGCAACCTGCAAAAGAAAACAAGACGCCAGAACTATAGGTACCTAAGGTTGGAAATGGTGGTGTAGCGGATGGCACTGGCATTCGACGCCAGTAATGCAGCGCGTGGATTGGTGGTGTTGACGCCAGCGTTCAATGGATGGGGATCTGGGGTCGCAACCTCCTTCAATGACACCGACAACGCTCGCGACAAATTTGTCCGGCACTTTGGACGGCATTTACACGGTGTCCTGGCGCCAAGCCGACGGTCCGGGACTAGCGGTGCCATCCCGTGCGGATTATCCATATTTGCCGTCGCGTTGTTTGCCAATGAAGGACGGGAGGCTGAGGATTCCTGCGAAGCGCCCCTCTCAAGGAAAAGTTGAAGCTGAATTGACGGGGCGAGGCGAGAGAACCCGATGATCCAGAAAGCAAGTGGCGATGTACGAGAATCACAGTGACCATTTTTGAATTCGAAAATCATGTTAGTGCTAGAAAACGTTGGTGGTGATCATTTTATCATTTTATGTTGCGGTCCCGGGCCGGGGTTCCGGGCCCACCTTTTCCAGACTGCGCACACACCACTGACCCTGCGTGGGTAAAGCCCCACGCAGTGCCACCAGTTCTCCTACTTAGTTGTTAGACCAGTTTTCCACAAGAATACACAGATCTTTAGTGCCTGTGTCTTTCACATTTTACAACCCCTGGGTGGCGCGCTGCCCAAATCCAGGTAGGTCTGGTAGTGTTGGATTTGGAAGGCGGTTAGGAGGGGCAATTCAAGGGTAACTAGTGGCTGGGCATTAGTATTTTCAGGATCAGGGCGAGGCCCGCGGCAGTGGGAACAAAACAGAGACAGAGATACAGACATCATCATCAATGGACTGGTTGCCCCTCTTTCATCCCCTTTTGGCACCCAATCACCTTGGTACCGTTAATTCGTAGCTGTTTGCTTTCCAACAGGTAGCTACCGCTCTACACAAGGTACCGAGGTAGGTAGTTACCTATTCGTACTCGCATACCCGTCGGGGAAAGTTTCTCGGGTAACCTGTCCTCTATGAATCGCTCCTTCCCTCATATCAGAAAACACCAGACAACCGTATCGTTAATTTAGGGTTCCCGCCTAACAAAGCCAGAATGCTCCCGCTGGACTGGCTGGACAATGCCATCCTCAGCATCCACCGCCATGGGCTCGGCGCTTTTGCCATCCTGCGCATTCCAGTTACTATAAACCACCCCCGCCTCCGATATGTCGTCCCGCCGTGGGCCAACTTGTTGGTTAGAGTGATTACTAAAGTTGTACCACTTGGTATCCTCGGGGGATCTGAATTTCCCCAGCTGGTGCCATCCCGTGATCGTGATTATCCAACTCTTCTTGGTTTTGCTGCCCGTGGGGAGAGGGCCGTGTCGCCGATAATGCGCGCCGACCAGTATCGCTTTTGTACCACACCCCTGTCGAGGTCAATTTGCTTCGTATAGTTGAAATCCTGTAGAGGAGGGCCGTGTAATTTCCCGTAAAGGTGCCGGTTCAGGGCCAGTCTACCGGCGGTGAAGGAAACTACACCGTTGTCTCGTTCATATTCTTTTTTCGCCCCGCAATGCTCATTGTACCATTTCGGTCCCTGTCCCCGGTTCCAAAGATGTACAAACTTGCACCGGTAACACACGTACAAGTTTGGTTTATCTTTCTCAATCCAGCCAAGTAGCAGAAACCGTTCCTCCTCGTTTAGCGCAAACCGCCTGCGGGGTACCTGCTCTCGTGGCCCGCATATAAGCACGTTGAACCCCCAGCAGGTTAGGGCGAATGCGGCCAAAGATTTTTCGGGAACGTGATCTAGGATGAGCAAAATGATCTCTTCTGGGCAAGAGAAAATTGGGATGGTTGGCGGTGACTTTACAACTGGTAGAGAGTGGGTTGTCGGTGGTGACTCCACAACCGGTAGGGACTGTGTCGTCGACGGTGACTGCATATCCGGCGGTGGCTGTCTCACTTGGTGAACGCGACGCCAGAGGTACAAGCCTCGGATGCAATCTAGGATCATGATGGCAAGGAAGAGAAGGGGTATAACCTCGCGAACTGATGTTGTTCAACTGCAGGGTTATACAAGTGACGCTCTTGCCCGAGTCCGCGGGATGAGAAAGACTGTGGGTGTGAAATGGGTAGATATCAGCACATATAAGCATCTTTTATACTGACAAAATAGCATGTCCCGCTCTGGCCTCACCCGGATGTGTTCTGGTCTGAACGATACGATACTTCGAATGAGTCTCTTGTTCCACCTGTCTACGCTATATATACCGATATATATCTATTTGAAACGCATTTAATCCAGTTGTTCACGCTAGCATTGATACCCTTTACCCTGAGATATGGACTAATTATTTGGTGTATGGACGTTACGACTCCGGAGTAGGTACAATGTCAAGCCCATTATAGGCAAGTGTGACGGCGTGCTATTCAAACGCTGCCAGTTTATGTCACAGATGTGGCCAGTCTACATCTGCCGATTACGGAATGGCTCGCGTTACGTTGAACCTCGGACCATATGTTCCAAAATACTACTATCTTGTCCTTTATATTCATGTCCGTTATTTGCAAGTTTGTTGGAAACTACACAATTGCCAGCTAATCAAGGCATGTTCATTCCATTATTCTGAGTCCCTTCATCCATTGGAGCGTATTTATCATTAGGAATAAAGGACTAGAAAGCGAATTCTTGTTACCGACTTTAGATGGTATGGATGATGTTATCGGACACTTGACGCCTGCATACAAGGCTGCATAGATATCTTGCATGAGGGTCAAAACACCCCTGGGCAAAGACCGCCGAAAGGCAATTCGTCAATGGAAAACCAAATGGTACTAAGTGACATCTTGCTGCCTTTGCTGGTTCACACACCACTGCATCTTATTTGTCTAAAATGAATGCGATGGGTATAAAGAAATTGTTTACAAAGTGATTCAAAGAGACCCTACGGATTAAACGCCTGCTCTGTCATGTTTTTTCCCAGAGGTCGTCAGTCTTGCCCGGTAACGCCCCCCTCGGTAGTCTCACTCTACTTCCAATCCCAAATCTATCTTACTTGGTGAGCAATAACAGCAATCATGGAATCGTCCGAACCAAATCCGTCGCAGTCTGAAGCCATTTCCCTCGTAAAGGCGCAGCTGGGGGTCGCATTCGCACAGCTGGCCATTGCCTTGATCAAGGAAGTCGGGCCATGGCTCATCTCTAAGATGTGTGGGGGTCCGCGACGGAACACAATATTGTCAGATATGAAGGCGTTGAGAGCAGGCGCCTAAAGTACCCATGTGGCCGTGCTTGCTAACTAAATTACAGTGATGGACGGGACGAAGGCGGCACTTGACACCAACCTTCCACCCATGAAGGCGGCACTCGACAACCTTCCATCCATCACGAAGGTACTCGACGATAACCTTCCACCCATGAAGGCGGCACTTGAAACCAACCAGCTGTTGGACAAGATCCTTGAAGCCATAGGGGAGACGAACCGGCTCATGCGTGGCCTTTCAATCACAGACCCCGCCCAGCAGACCACGTCTGGCAACCCCTCTGAGTAACGTCGAGGGAGCGGCGTGGCAGGGGCAGGGACACGCGGATCTCAGCCACCATCACCAGCACGCCATCGTCAGTCACACACCTTCCCACACGGCAACTTCCCCCATCCACATCCATCCACACCCGCCGCCTCGCAGCTCGACGGCGTGTGCGGGCGCAGGGACACGGGGTTCTTGGTTTGGTCAGTATGTTGTTCTTTTTCCTTGTGCCTGTCTTGCATTCTGCTTAGGCTTTTGCTGTTATTTCTTTTTTCTTTTCTGTCTGGCATGGCTCAGGTTTAGACTTTGGGTGTCATTCTTTCCCCTTTTTTTGTCTGGCATGGTTGGGCGGGGATCGGGGCGCATGAGGTCTTTGCATACACCAGACTCAGGTTGTTTTTAGGGGGGTTTAGGGGCGTCAGCATGGATGGAGCCATTTTGTTTCTGGCATCAAGCCTGGACTTTTGCGCTGTTTTCTTTCTATTTTTCTCTCATTTTGTCGTGCATTTTTGCTGTTATTTCCTCTTGGTTGGGTGCCCAGGGATGGGGGCGCATGAGGTTTTGCGGGCACCAGACCCAGGTTTTTTTGGGGTGGGTTTGGGCCTTTTCAGTTGGCAACAAGGCGGAAAATGGGACGGGTACCTAGTCAATGTCCCAGCAAAAAAAAACTTTTCGGCAACGTCAATCCCATGCTGTGCTTGATTTGTGTGTTTTGCTGTTGTTGTGAGACAACTATTGCCGGCCGTGCGTTACGGGATTAGACATTTCCTCGTTGTCGGTGTCGATGTGGGTCTTGACCATCTTGCCATTTGATGTTTTAAGTTGTCGGCGCCCGCGAAGAACATCTAAACCATCAAATCCTTTCAACCGAAAAAGGCTGTCAACTCGCCTCGCCGGTAGAATCTTGGCTTCCCATTGCGTTGACAAAACCGTGGTCGTGAAGCGGCCTGAGGCACAAGGCGATGGGCAATTGAGATGGCGACACGGGAGGTTGCGAGCGCCACGGGAGGTTGCGAGCGCCACGGGAGGTTGCGAGCGCCACGGGAGGTTGCGAGCGCCACGGGAGGTTGCGAGCGCCACGGGAGGTTGCGAGCGCCACGGGAGGTTGCGAGCGCCACGGGAGGTTGCGAGCGCCACGGCTGCTGGTGCCGTCTGTCAGCCTTCCCTGGCCTCAGGCTTTGTTGCTCCTGTCGCAGCATCTCTGCAGGGGAGTGGATGCTGAATGCACACCACTTTTGGCGCTCCTCTTTCCCCGTGCGGCTTTTCGTGCGGCTTTTCGTGCTTAATGACGGGTGAGCCGGACATTCCCGGTCCCCTCAGCCCCTGATACCACCGGCCAAGGGACGAGCGTCCCACCCACCCGAATGCAACGTGAAAAGATTATCAGATTCCCCTCTTGCCTTGGCTGTTTTTTTTTTTTTCTTTCTTGCTTGATGTGGATCTTGGCCGGAGGGGGGCTGCGCAGCGCGTTTTCCCTAATATGGACTGCAAAGTAACGCGCCCAGATCGATCTCCCTCTGAGTTTCCCTGTTAGGGAACCGATGTGACCCCTCGGTACCCTGCATGATGGGCGCTTGCAACATGGTTACTGCTGGACTGTGTCTGAGATCAAAATGCTTCTTACACACCTAGCAAGTACATTTAGCAAAACGGGGCCCTACCTTGATTCCGGTGTTTAGTTTGGGCCTTATCCTACGTTGGGGATTCATCAGACAACCTCCGGAAACGTCATACATTGAAGTTTATCTAAGTAGTCATAACGCTTTTGGCACATATCGTCGCCCAGGATTATACTCAACACCTTGATATCCCTGGCTCTTTGAGAAGACCACGTCATCTGTGATCTGATCGACCAAGCACGGGTTTACATTACCATGTGAGCCCATTTTTCGTCTAATGATAGTTGTTTCCTTGGGTTATTGTTACGTACATGTAGAGCTTGAGTAGTTGACTGGAAACTGATCTAACCAGAGATACTCCATTCGCATCCAGAAATGGGTCGTTTCGTTGCTGTTGACACGCCACCCCACGACGAGATGGCATTGCAAATACCAAGCACGACACGCTTCAAACTACCGGACGGTGAAACGGAAGTGTGGATTACTGGCACCAACAATGCTCCCGGAAAGGACTATGTCGTCGGATCTGGTGATGCAGCGCTGGCTCGGTGGACGAATGTTGGAACGCAAACCAGGCTATCCCTACCCATCGTCAACGACGACATTGCACACTTCGGCAACGTTCTGGAGCTCGAGCTTGGGGGCTCACATGTACCAAGCTCTAGCCTGCCATTTGGGTCCGACAGCCCGAACCGTGATCTCACACTGGCATGGGCCTCGGTTTATGCCCTGTGGTTGCATCCCGACAACAGAGAAGTGGACGTAATTGCTGTCTCGGTGGAAAGCGGACGAGTGGGAGAGTACATGCAGTGCACCGGTCTGGGACAACTATCACCATACTCGTCGGACGCAAGCACATCAAAACCCGAGGATAGCATCTACTGGCTCTCCAGGGAGACGTTTTGGCAGGGAGCCGGGGCGCCAGACTCGCAGCATTGGCTCCGGGCCCGGCCTGAAGTGACCAGCTTCCCGGGGTTCAACGGGACGCTGGGTGTCTTCGCCAGCCAACTGGGATTCACGCGCAAGGGCAACGTCTGCACTGTCCACCCGGTACGGCCGCCCAAGCCCAAGCCCGGCACGGTCATCTACTCCCGCTTCATCGTCGAGCTTGGGCAACAGCTGCGGATTCTGCACATCGACGCCGAGAATCCGGCACACTTCGAGGCATACGCGCGGTGGCAGAACTCGGATCGCGTTAACAAGGCCTGGAAGGAGCGCGGACCGGACGAGCACCACCGCGCATACCTCGCGGCGCAGCTGGCCGATCCGCACAGTATGTCGTGTCTGTTCGAGTGGGACGGCGAGCTCGCCGGGTACACGGAGCTGGGGTGGGTGAAGGAGGACAACGCGGCGTGTTTCTTCAGTTCCAACTGCGGCATTGTTGTGGGGGAGCACGACCAGAACTCGCACATCTTCGTCGGCGAGGAACACCTCCGCGGCGGCAAGAGATACCAGGCCGTGGCGACGTCCATCAAGCACTGCTGCTTCCTGCGAGAGCCTCGGACAAAGCAGGTGATTGCGGAGCCGCAGTTTGACTTGGCTCATGTTCATATCCAGAACAAGTACCTACCGCAGGAGAAGAAGAAGCGGTTCCACTTGCCGCACAAGACGGCCACGCTGTTTGCCCTGCAACGCGATCGCTTCTTCCAGGAGGCGTATTTTGTATAAACGGGACAAGGGGTCAAACAATTCTGCCTTGCTATTGAGGTATTCACCCTCTCTGATAGATACATATATCAACTCCCTACGTTATCGTTATCATTTACCTCTTTAGTAAGCCAATGCAGCAGCGTAGTTACAATATGGTTTAACTAGTTGGGACCTTCTTTGTTTTAGTCGGGAATTTGTTTAGTTAAAGCCCGGCTTGTCACCAGTGCCGGCGGCGGCATCACCCGCACCCCGCGAAGCCCACATCGTGTGCCCGAATAGGGGCAGGGGTTGGTTTGAGAGGTGGGTTCAGGGGCTCGGGTCTCCTCGGGAATTTGATGGTACGATGGAAATCAATTGATAATCTTATCCGATCATCTGATTGTAGATCCCTCTTGGCGGACTGAAAGCGAGCGGCAGCGGTGAACTGGAAAATCCCTCATGTTGCCCCAAGCAGGGGTCACCGAGAAAGGGTGTGTCTTGAGAACTGAATGGAGTCTAGTTACATTATACGCACACGCCTGTGGGGTTGGTGGAGGGGTTCAATGTCCCACAGCCGGAGCGATCACGGCAGGTATTGTGGCATTATCTGATGGTGATGGAATAGGGGACGTCCCAGCAACCTGAAGTATGGACAATATTGGCCGGTAGTCACGACTCCCTTTCAAGATTTGTACAAGGTACATTGGTTACACTCAGAAATTTGCGGCACCCAGAGTCAAGTCAACAACAACCCCGGCTCAGCGAGCTCACGGCACCATGAACAACACACTACCGAAGCTACGGCCACCAATCACGCAGCTCCGGCCACTGCATTCCCTCCAACAGCCTTCGAATCGGGAGTTCGAACTACCAAGATTGAGAGAAGAAGCCCATCTTGAAAACAGCATTCACCTGGTGCACTGGTCCAGCCCCCTTGAACCCAAGCCTGATAAGGAGACAGCCATCAAAGCATTCGTGAGACTCGTGGCTCGGATAGCGGTTATCGAAGTTGGAGATAAATACTGTATCGAGGATGCCGAACGCGGCGGCTTCATATTGGCTCATTCCGCCGGCCAAGTTCATGAGGAAGGGGACTCTGGCTTCGTTGACTGCCTGGATGGCCAGGTCATCCCAACTGACTTTTCCATTGGCGAGGGCAAGGTATGTATAGCAATATGGGCTACATTGGAAAGCCACAGAGTGCTGCAGATTACGTGACTAACACGCGATTCAGGCATTACAGCTTCATATTGATGCGGCAACCAGACAGGTGCGGCTGGCCGCGCAGGCCAATGTTGTGCCCGTGGTTGCTCTCGGGGCTTTGGGTCGGATGCTAGACGACCTTATTGTTGGTCTACAGCAAGGTCAAAATGCATCTGTTGAATGGACAAAGCCTTCTGTGCTCAACTTTCCTCCCAAACCAAGGCCCCTCGATTTGTTTTCCGAAGAGCCGGCCTCCTCGGTGAACCAGAAGCTTGAGGATCCTAAGATTGAGGAGAACGGGCAGGCGCTGCTCCACAGGTGGTTTGAGCAACGCGCGGCAGAAACTCCGGAAAGAATAGCCGTGGATTTCCTCGTCGACTTGGAGAGCGGCAAGCGGGTTCAGTATACCTACCAGAACATCGAAAATGCCGCCAACGCACTGGCAGCCGCTCTGTTTCTTACCAATGCGAAGTCGCAATCTGGGACACAATCGTCCGTCAGAATTGTTGCTGCGTTGATGGGACCTTGCCCTGAGCTTTATACCAGCTACCTAGCCGCTTTGAAGGCGGGAATGGCGTTTTGTCCCATTCCTGTGGACGCCCCAAGGGACAGACAGGACGCGTTGATAGCAGATTTAAAACCAACTGCTCTTCTTGTGGTTGCATCACAGCAAGGACACTTGCCACAGTCGTCTCCCTCCTTTACCCCTATCCCCGAGATCGACGTGGCTCCCTATCTCGCATCATGCGACTCAAAATCGGAAACACCACCGCTTTCAACACCACAAGCAATCGCCGAGACAGATGTGGCCTACATTCTCTACACGTCAGGAACTACTGGCATGCCGAAAGGTGTAGCTGTTAGTCACATTTCCGCATCGTGCACAATCTCCGCCTTGAGTAATCACTTCCGGCTTGTCCCACCGTCACGACCCAGCAAGCCCATCAGATGGTACCAGGGCGCGGCACCAACCTTCGACATCTCACTCTTCGAAATTTTCTGGACGCTCAGCACCGGCTCCACGCTCTGCTGCGCCCCGCGCGAGTGCACTTTACAAGACATCGACAGAGTCTTGAGGATCATGGAAGCTGACATGACCAATATCACGCCCAGCTTTGCCAGCCTCCTCGACCCGTCCTCGATCCGCGGCCTGATGGTCGGTGGCGAGACGCTGAATACCCGTCTGCTACAAGTCTTTGCTCATCACAACCCCCCTGTGGGGACCATGAACGGCGACCACGCGCAAAACAAACCACGCGGTATCTACAACGGATACGGGCCCACGGAGACGGCCATCTACTGCATCGCCCAGGCCCACGTCCCTGCCACCCAACGAGGTTCCGTGATAGGGACGCCTCTCGCCACGTGCGGCTGCCTCATCGTTGACGCTCAGACAACAAACACCCTAGAGCCCGTGCCCATGGGCGCGGTGGGAGAACTGGTCATCACCGGCCCACAGGTGAGCAACGTGGGCTACCTCAACCGGCCTGAGGAGACAGCGGCCGCCTTTTCCGACGATGCACGATGGGGGAGGGCGTACAGAACCGGTGATCGAGCCAGGATTGTATGGGGCCCGGATGGCGAACCCGTGGTTGAGTTCCTGGGCCGAATGTCGGATGATCAGGTCAAGCTGAGCGGGAGACGCGTTGAGCTCGGCGAGATCGAGAGTGTGTTGGCGAGCCGCGTGGACGGCATACGCGAGACGATGGCTTGTGTCTGGAAAGGGCAGTCGTCGGAGGCCGGCTCGGAGAGGGTTGTGAGTCTGGTCGTCCTGGAGCCCCGGGCGGGTTTGGACTTTGAGCTTGTCCGCCAGAGGTGTCTCGAGGTGGCGCAACGGCACTTGCCGGACTACATGAGGCCCTTTAAAATTCTCCTGGTTGATGCCCTGCCAAGATCTGCCTCGGGCAAGCTCGATCGCAAACGAGCTTCTTTGTACGTGCGGGAGGTACTGGAAGACAGCAGCGGCCCGGGGGGTATGAAGCTTGTGGAGGACGACATCCAGGACTGTGTCGGACGCCTGGATGATCCCAAAAATGCCAGGCTAGAGAAAGAACTCATCGATATGGTATTCGAAATCCTCACCGATGGTAACTCCTCTGGTACCACGGTGACGATCACGGCCACGACGCCACTTGGCCAGGCTGGCATCGACAGCCTCCGCGCAATGACGCTTTTGCGCGACATACGAAAGCGCTGGCCTAGCTCCGGATCAACGCATGATAAGCATGCGCGTCTACAGCCGTCATTGGCTTCTTTGCTTGACTCAGGAGCTAGCATCCGATCTGTTTTCTTTCCCCCGCCGGTGGAAGTTGACACCCGGACTAAACTGGACAACGACATACAACGCCAACTGGCCAACTTCTCTTCCAAATACGTTCCAGAGGCACTCGACAAGCTCAACCTGGCCCACGCGGCCGATATCGAGATGGTTCTGCCCACAACATGCACACAGAGCCAGCTGGCCGTGAGCTTTGCGATGGATAGCAGCAACTACATTAGCCATTCTGTATTGAAATTGCGATCGGATATCTCTATCGAGAGGCTAAAAGAAGCCGTCAAGGGGGTCATCTCCGAACAGGCCATCTATCGCTGCGCGATCCTCCCGTGTGACGATCCTTTGTCACCTTTCTCTCAGGCTATTTTGACGCCCGAAGCATGGCGTCGATTCGTCAACGACGAGAACCGAGTAGTGCACACCAGAGCATCAACAAGTCAACTCGCAGAAGATGTAAAGCCATGGCTTGACTTGGCCGAGGCGAACATTTCTCTCGACTCGCAGAGGTTGTACCATATCCAGATTATTGAGCCAGACAGCAATTCCGATCCTGATTTGGCGAGCGCTGGGCTCCTCGTCGTCAGCATGGCTCACTGCATTTGCGATGGGGCGTCGCTTGAGGTGCTTATGAGCGATATATCAAGGCGGTATCGTGGCCTGGAACCTCTTCAACGGCATGGCATCTCCGACGCTGTGTTCGAGTGGGCCTCAAACAAGAACACTGACACTGATGAGCTCTGGCAACAATACCTCAAAGGCTGGGAATCTGAGGCTTTTGGTTCCTTGAGCGGGGATAATGTCAACCCATCTATCGCGGACGAGGATCGCCGACATGGGATGGTCGAATACGCGAGTGACCTACCATGGCAGGTCCTAGAATGCAAGAGTAGGACTTTAGGCACATCCCCCTTGTCCATCTTGCAAGCGTCTTGGGCTCTTCTCCTCAACTTGTTCTCTGAATCAGACACGGGAGATGTCCTGTTCGGGAGCATCATCTCGGGCCAGGATCTCCCAGCACATGCACCCACTTTCTCCGTCGTGCCCTGCCGGGTGGCCCTACCCGAGGCCCAGACAATCAGTGAGCTTGTGGATAGTCTTGTGAGTCACTCGAGATTTGCGCAGCGTTATCGGCACACATCCTTTGGCGTCTTCAAAACACGGCCATACAACACGGCATTGGCTTTGCAAGCCTACGCTCCAGAGGGCCCCAATTCTCAAGATGGCCTTGGGGAGACTCTCCCTGACCTCTGGACGGAGATGCAGAACCCGGCCATACGTTACGATTTTCCTGTTTTCGTCGAGATCTTTCCGACAAACCCCCACTCCCCAAGCCGTAACCGGCAGACCGACAAGATGACGTTCAAGCTCACTTATAGCGAAGACGCCCTCTCAGGATTTGCAGCAACTTGCATCGTAAAGCAATTCGGAGCGCTGGTCGAAGTTATGCTTGGTTCATCTCCAGACGACCTAGTTCAGGGGCTACCAGCACGTCTGCCTATGGACTTGCTCTCTGCAGAAGGGACTATTCCGGTTCCAGCTGAAAACAAAGAAAACAATGACCAACAGAGTCATGTTCGAACTGAGCTCCTGCACTCCCAATTCGAGGACCAGGCCACCTCAACCCCCGACCTTCTGGCCCTGAGCTTTTACACCTCGCTAGACTCACCTCCCATTGAGTTGAGCTATGCGGAGCTTGATGCGAGGGCGAACGGCTTAGCAAACATCCTACGCGAGGAGGATGTCGACGTTATCCCCATTTGTTTGCAGCGGAGTGTCGAGCTCTATGTTGCCATCCTGGCTATCTTGAAAGCTGGTTCGGCCTGGTGCCCCATCGACGAGACATCACCCGTGCAGAGGCGAACCTCACTGATTGCCCGGACACAGAGCAAGTTGCTCCTAACTACCACGGAGTCGTTGCACCTGGTAGAGCCTTGCCTCTCACATCAGAGTCTCGAAGGCGTTCGGGTCATTCTTCTCGACAAGTACGCAGACCAGAAGTCACCCGTGAGAGCTTCTCCCCGCGACGGTATCTTATCTTCCAAGAATCTCAGCGGGAAAGATTTGGCATATCTGCTGTGGACCTCGGGCACCACGGGTGAGCCAAAGGGTGTCATGATCCAACACAGCGCCGCGGCACAGGCCATGCGCGACTTACAGATCCGAGTCGAACACGATGAGAAGGGTGGACAGGTGCGGACTTTGCAGCTGTCAGCATACAGTTTTGACGTCTTCGTTCAAGATCTTTTCTACACTTGGGGAATTGCCGGCAGTGTCATCAGCGGCATAAGAGAACTGGTGTTGGGTACCTTTGTCGAGTTCATCTGGAAGTCCTGCCCCACGCACGCCCACCTCACACCATCCTTTGGCGCGAGCATTCATGTCGACGAGCTCAGGGGGTCGACTCTGCAATACGTGACCTTCATCGGCGAGAAGCTGACGGAAAGTGTCGCCGAAGCCTGGGCGGCCCCGGAGATCACCACCCGCGCGTATAACACCTACGGGCCGGCCGAGAACGCTGTCGTATCCACGATGCGGCGGTTCTACGGCAAGAGCAGAGACCGGGCCAAGGCTGCCAATGTGGGCTTCCCCCTGAGCCCCTGCACAGCTTACGTCGTCCGCGAGGTTGAGGTAGCGCAGACCAAGCAGAAGCGGTGGGAGCTTGTTCCGCGGTACGGTATCGGCGAGTTGGCTCTGGGGGGCGCGCAGGTGGCCAAGGGCTACCTCAGCAACGAGGTCAAGACGGCCAAATCTTTTATTCAGGGCGTCCCCGGCATCGATGAGCGCATCTACCTGACAGGGGATGTGGCCCGTCTCAACGACCACGGCTTCGAGTTTCTCGGCCGAAACGACGACTTGGTCAAGATCACCGGCATTCGCATTGAGCTCAGTGAGATCAGTGCCGCGTGTGCTAGTGTTAAGGATGAACACGCGGCCGTCGAGCATGTCGAGACACTGCACCTCCCTCGCCCAGGGGCTGGGGACGGCAACAATAAAGTCATCGTCACCTTCGTCTCCGTCAAGAAAGACATTGTCGATGGAGGGCAGATAAGGACGGAGGTATTCCAGAGGGCTAGGGACCTACTGCCTGCATACATGGTTCCCGGCCACGTGGTTGTTTTGAACACCACGATGCCGAGGACCGCTTCAAACAAGGTCGACCGCAAAGCCCTGCAGGAAATCTACGATAAGTCGGATCTCAACGTCCTGGCTGGAAGAGAGGGCAACAACTCCGGACGGTCCCCAAGTGATGGCGGCGAAACGAAACCACAGTGGACTAAGGACCAACTTCCCATCCTTCGGATTATCGCCGAGGAGTTCAAGGTGGCAATCGAGCCCCTGTCTCCCGGGGATAGCTTGGCCGGCCTTGGGTTCAGCTCTCTGCAAGTCACTAAGCTGGCATGGTCGTTAAAACGGCGGCTTGGGTGCGCGGTTGGGGTCCTCGTCCTCATGCGGTGTCAGTCTCTCGGCGAACTAGTCGAGGTCGTTCTCAGCAAGCTGCCGGATCAAAGGGCCATATCACAAACTCCCAACGGCACAGTACCACCAAGACCGGCTCCAGAAACATCATGGATAGCTTCCATCAAAGATGCCCTGACCAACAAGCTCCGTGGCGACATGAGGCCACATGATACGTTGTACGTGGTGCCTGCGACCCCAATCCAGGAGTCACTTATCGCGGAGACAATGTTCGAGCCCCGGGCGTACTGGGCGCACCGTGTGTTTGACTTGGGCCACCAGGGAAAGGTTGATGGTCTCCGTTTAAAGGAAGCCTGGACCGAGGCTACCAGGAAATTCGACATACTTCGAACCATCTTCGTTCCCCTGACACAGCTCGAGGTGGAACACACAGCAGAGAATACACGCAATGTTGTGACATGGGCTCGACACCAAGGGATCCGGTCCACCATTCTTCAGCTGGTCCGCCGTGAGCCAACCGTCTGTTGGACTTGGCTATCCGGTGACGAAGATCGGGATCTGGCCAGGTGGGCCGAGAAGCTGCAGATGGAACTGGCACCGACGACGACAATCCGGCCCCCATGGTCCGTGACATTTGACGACAGAGGAAACAAGTTGATGTTGAGCATGCATCACGCCCTCTACGACAATGTGTCGTCAGAAATCCTCCTCGACACCGTTGCCAAGTCCTACCAGGGGCAAGGAGGGGATACCCATGCCGGTGATATGCCGGTGCCGCTGGCCAGGGGCATGGAGCTGGGTTTGTTGCCCACCCCCCACCAAAGAGACGAGGCCGCCTCCGTGTGGGACAGTCATCTAGCCGGTACTAGGGAGGCGGTGGGCGCCCTGAACGCTCCATTCCCCGACCTGACACAGTCCCGGCAGAAACAACCACGGCGAATTCTCCTTTCGAAAAAGTCCATTCCTTCTTTCCTCCTCCCATCCAGGTCAGCAGCTGCGCCGAGGTTCCCCGATTTCCCAACATTATTTAAGTCCGCGTTCGGGTGCGTTCTAGCGTCATACCTGGAACTCAAGGCTGTTGTGCTGGGCCAGACAACCTCACAAAGGATTCTACACCCGGACCTCGCTCGGGTCATGGGCCCGGCGATGGCTACTCTTCCTGTGCTTGTTCGCGCCGATGCCCATTCGGCCCAGGAGCTCTGGAGTAACATGGCGCGTGACTCCTCCAGCCTTTCCCGGACCATGCATAACCTGCATCCTGTGGATATCAAAAGAATCCTCAACAGGGGCAGCGAAAACAGCAACGCCCCCTTTCCGGGTTTCTTTGTCTACCACCCCGCCCCGGGAAGTGATGGCGATCCCGAAGACAACAGTACCCCGCAAATGTTCCGAGGAGAAGAGCAGGCATTGTCGCTCAACGTGGAGCATCCACTCGCCTTGAATGTCTTTGAGCACGACGGTATTATGGAACTCACAGGCGACGGGAGCCGCATCTCTCAGGCCCAGCTGGACTTGATGCTGAGGCAAATCATCGACCAGGCTAAGGCCATGTTAGAGTCACCTCAGTTGCTTCTCCATCTGCTGCCGAACAGAATGGACCGGGCCCTCGTGTCAATCAGTGGCAAAGCCAATACCGGTGAAGATATTGGTGCAGTCGACCCAACGGATAAGGTCTCTCAACATGCGTTGGACCACCCCGAATGGGTCGCGGTCGAGGAACTCACTCTTTCGCCACCAGACGAAGGTGATTGCAACGAAATAACCACCAAGACAATCACATACGCCCAGTTAGACAGGCTCGCCAACGCCATCGCCTCGAGCCTAGCATCACACAAAGCCCATCTCCAAGCAGATGATGTTGTTGGTCTGTATTTGAGCAGGGATATCAAGTCCCTCGCGGCGACCTTAGCCATCTTTCGGGCTGGCTATGTGTACCTCCCTGTGGACGAAGACCTACCCTCAGCTCGGAAACAACTGTTGATCCGGGACGCTGGGGCAAAGCTCATCATCACCACCGAGGAGCTAGCGGGAGACCTAGAACTGAACCTGGACAATGATCCACCGGCCTTGTTGCTCCCAGATGGAGACAAGGCCGTCAATACGATGCTGTCTTGGCCAGTGTCTCATCAAAGACACCCCAAACCCGGGCACGGCGGCTATCTCCTCTACACCTCCGGCTCGACCGGCCATCCCAAGGGCGTCCGCGTATCCAACAGCAACCTCTGCCACTTCATCGCCGCCTTCAGCGCGCGCCTGATCGAGTCCTCGCCCGCAACAGCCTCCCTCGGCGGCGCCGGAAAATATCTCAACCTTACGTCCCGCGCCTTCGATCCCCACCTCACGCAGCTCTTTGTGCCCTGGCACCTGGGTTACAGTGTTGTCATTGGCAGGGACCGCACGGCCATTCTCGGAAGCTTGCAGCGGGTCATCAACGAGCGGAGCGTCACGCATTTTGGTTCCGTGCCTTCGGTGCTGACGCAGCTGGGCCTGCGGCCGGAGGATATGCCCTCGGTTCGGGCGGTGACAACTGGCGGGGAGAAGGCGTCGAGCGAGTTGCTGGATATGTGGACGAAGGGGGGGCCAGAGAAACAAGAAGGAGAACATTCAGGGGCTGTTCTCTTCAACTTCTACGGGCCGACCGAGGTGACCATTGGCTGTCTGGGGCATGCGGTGAACGCCCACTCCAACGCTCGCAATCTTGGTTTGCCGTTGCAGGGTCTTGAGGCATTGCTGCTGTGCCCCGGCACTGGCGAGGAACAGGTTATTGCCCGAAGGGGACAGCCGGGCGAGCTGTGCATCGCGGGGCCGCAGGTATCCATGGGCTATCTCGACAGGCCGGACGAGAACGCCAAGAGCTTTCAGACGACCTTGTTGCTGGGAGGCGGACCCAGAAGAATGTACAGAACGGGCGACGTGATGAGGATGATGCACGACGGCACGCTGGAATTCCTGGGCAGGGCGGACCAGCAGGCCAAGATCCGGGGGCAGAGGCTCGAGCTCGATGAGGTTGTGCATTTCCTGAAACAAGCAGCGGTTGGCGAGGGTGACTTGGACTTTGCCGCCGCCGTCGTCGCCAGTGGGGATGGCGAGTCGAGTCAGAAGCAGCAGCAGCTCTTCGGATTTATGGCCCGGAGAGCAAGGAATCCTCCCAGAGTGGGTACCAACGCTGAGGTTGAGCTTCTCAAGGATCAGGGGGAGGAGTGGACGGCTTTGCTGGAGAGGATTGAACAGACATGCGAGGCTGGACTCCCGGCCTTCATGGTACCCACGATGCTTTCGGTTTCGAAGATCCCCTACCTGGCCGCGTCGGGGAAGGTCGATACTAAGCTCCTGGCTAAGCTCGCAAACGACTTCTTCGCTTTCCAACAAGACCAGCAAGGCCCTGCTGGTTCTGCGACTGCCACTAGTCCGGGATCCGCCTTGAATGACGGAGAATTGGCGGTCATATCGGCTGTGGAAGAGGCCGTGGGGAACAAACTACACTCCGCCACCGCAACAAGCAGTATCCACCGCCTTGGTATCGACAGTCTCTCGGCTGTTCATCTGGTGTCGCTCTTGCGAAGACGAGGCTTCTCCAAGCTCAAGATGGTCGACATCCTATCCCCCTCGTGTACAGTGCGATCCATAGCTCGGTTGGCTGACCGGCGCCTAAACGGCAGCGCGCCAGCACATGGCATGTCTTCATCTTCCTCGGCGGATCAACAGGCGTCAGACATGGCACAACAGGGCGTTGAGCCGTTCAATGTCGCAGATCTCGGCCCACTTCCCACGCAACTCAGCGAGTCCCAAATCGAAGCCGTCCTACCATGCCTGCCTCTACAATCGGCCCTCGTCGCGCGATCTTTGTCGTGGTGGCTCAGAGTTAAGAGTGCTGGGGACGGTGACGGGGATGAAGACAAAGCACCTGTCGAAGTTCCGTATGTGGCACAGTTCCACTACCGTCTCTCTCGCGGCACGGACGCTGGCAGATGGAAGAAGGTAGCCGAGGAAGTCATCGCATCCGAAGCCATGCTGAGGACATGCTTCGTTCAGCGGGAGCATGACGGTAAAATCTTCCAGGTCGTCCTCCGGTCCCCTCCTGTCTCGCCATTCGACTGTGGGGAGAATGCGGCTGGAATCGTGGCGGAGATGAGCATACGGCCTCCCATTCGCTTACGTATGCAAGAGGGGGAGGGTTCTGGCGAGACTATCGTTTCATTGAAGATACATCATGCGTTGTTTGATGGTGTGGCTATCGACCTGCTCAGAAAGAAGTTGGAGCAGGCCTATCACAAGCAACATCCCACCGAGCCCCTTTGCAGAAACATGAGTCTCGATGTGTTGCGAGGCATTTCTAGTTCCTGTTACCTTTCGGGTGCGCAATTGGAATCCGCACGACGCTCGTGGCAAACGAAGTTTCACGGTGTGCGGCAATGCCGTGTTGGGACGGACAACAACAACAACAACAACAACAATGACTCCATGGTTCGTTCGACTCGCTCTCTCGACTACACCATTTCTGAGCTCAAATCTAAGCTGCGGGCTCTGTCGCAACAATCTGGCGCGTCAATTTCAGTGTCTACTGCCTTCCAACTGGCTACGGCACTCTGTCTAGCGCAACTTACCCGACAAACATCGGTCGTGTATGGCTTCGTTATGTCACTCCGGCCTCTCCTCGCCCACATCATCGACGGAACGGAAGAGTTCATTGGGCCATGCCTCAATACGCTGGTCCAAACCCTCAGCTTCCAAGAGACGGACGAGCCCCTGCCGGAACTTGCTCAGCGAGTTCACGAAGCCCATGCCGCTGCCTGCCAGGAAACGTTGCCATTCGCCAACGTGGAGCAGGTACAACGCTGGACCGGATCCGAAGAGAGGCTGTTTGACAGTCTGCTTAGCATCAACCTTATCCCCGCTGATGATACAACGGAGACTGGCGACACGCCGGAACCGGGGCCGGGCCGCATGAGTGCTCTGGGGACCCAGAGCAAGAGTGACATGGCCTTGGCCATTGACGTCGACCTGCACCCGGATGGCAAGATTCTGTTGACGCTGTCTTCGGCTGGCGCTCTAAGCGAGACCCAGCTGGATGAGGTCGGCCGGTTGTTTGCAGACGTTGTGTTTAGCGCTGCCGATGAGAACGCACGAGTCGGACAGTTTCTGCCAGGGCAACAATGGTGTGCAACAGAGGACGCTGTTGTTCCCAATGGTCACCACGCCCCGATTGACGCTGAGCCAGGATCGGGTTTGGCGGATGAGGGATACCAACAGGCCCTGGCATCCGTACGCACAGCCGCTTGTCGCCTTCTCCGACTCAAACCGTCTGATATACCAACCAGTGCAAAGCCAACTTCACTGTACCAGCTGGGTCTCGATTCGATCACTGTCATTCCATTCGTCAAGCTCATCAACAAGTTGGAGAACATCTGGCTCTCCCCTGACGCAGTCATCAGAGCTCGAACAATCCAAAACACCGCAAGACTGATCCAGGAGATGAAAACCAAGCGTAGCACCAAACCCAACGGCAACACAACCAAACATTCCACCCACACCAGAAACGACAAACCCACCAAGGGCATCAGCGACGACGACGCGTACGACGCAACCCTGCAGCGACTCGCCAAGGACCTCTTATTCGCGGCAACCCCCCTTCAAGAAAGCATGCTCAGCGCGTCGCTCGCCATCGCCGACAAGGCCTACACCTACACACACACCATCCAGCTCTCCGACAAGGCCCTCGCCGCAGACACCCCTACCCTCGACAGCTTCTTCGCTGCGGCCAGGGACACGGTGCAGGCGTGTGAGATCCTTCGAACGCGATTCATCTTCACCCACGACGACGACGCCCCCTGGGTTGGTGTTGTCTCCCCCGTCGAACAGAGCGATCTGGTCCACTGGGAGGTGGTGGAGGCGGGTCCTCCTGGGCGGGTGCAGCTGAGGATCCACCATGCGCTGTATGACGCGGCCTCGATTCGGGCGGTGTGGCGTATCCTGGGAGAGAACTACGCCCGACGCCTTCAAGGCCGTGACGAGATTGGTGGCCAGGCAGCTGTGCGGTCTCATCTGTTCCGGCCCTTTGCGAGGACAGTCGCCCTGGCACAAAGGGCTTCGGTGGCGTTCTGGGGCAAGCTTGTCCAGGGGTATAGCTACACGCCGCTGCATTTCCCAGACGACTCTCTGCAGGCATCGTCTGCCTTCCACTTTGCCCTGAGCGAGCAAGAGCTATCGTTTCTGCAGGCACGATGCAGGTCGTTGAGCGTGACGACCAAGGCGGCGCTTCAGCTGGCGTGGGTGAAGGTGCTGTGCGAGTCTCTGTACGGGCAGGCGGATGTCGTCTATGGCGAGGTCATCTCGACGGAGGGCGGGTTTGACGGTGGCGCTAACGGTGGCGTTAACGGTGACGCTGTTGTCGTCGGTCCTACCATCAACACGGTGCCGATGCGGGTCAAGTTGGCGGGTGACCGAGGGACCCCCGTCAGAGTTGCAGAGGCGCTGGTCCGGGTACAGCAGCTGAGCGACGACGCGAGAGGGACGGTCGCAATGGGGTCGCTGAGGAAGATCCAAGCATTGTGGAGATCGTCAAGCCGAGACCGGGAACACCTCCCCGCGGCTCTTTTCCAGAGTTTGTTCGTCTTTGATGGCATTGTTGACGCCACAAGCGCCGACAGCGACGGTTTGTCAAAGCCGCTGTTCAATAATGGAGCCCAAACTCAGACCCAAAACGGAAAAGAAGAGTCTGACGATGGGCCGGCGTATGACGATACCCCTGTGATCGTTAGCTTCCAGGTCCAGAATGGCACCCTTCGCGGCAAGCTGAGAGCCAAGATGACTGGAGAGGACGTGGAAACACTTGGAAGTCGATTGGAAGCGGCATTGAGATGGGTCCTCTCGTGCGAAGTGTCGGATCCCGCACTTGATATTGGTCCTCTCGACATCTTGAGGAAGAAAGGCTCGGCTTTGGAAAGTAGAGCCGCAGACAACAGAGGCAGTCCTTCTGAAAGAAACGGCTCAAATTCAGCGATGGCCGACACTATTTTGGAACTGGTCAAGAAAGTGCTCGGTACAAGATGCAGAGGCAAGGATATCGGCTACACCACGCGGCTGGTCAACATGGGTCTCGACTCAATCTTGGCCATCCGCCTATCGATGCTCTTGAGGAAGCAAATGGGCGTCACTGTGAGCGTCTTTGACATCAGTAAAGGCGCCAGCATTCATGACATAGTCGAGAAAGCCACCTTGGCACGGGAGGTCGTGGTACAAAAGCCGAGACAGCACCTACTGGCCCAGTGTGAAGAGCTGAAGGATTTGGTGGCCAATAAACTCGGGCTACCAAAGAACCAGATCAGGTCTGTCCTGCCTGTGTTGCCAGGTCAGCGCGTCCATTTGGAGCAGTGGTTGCAGAGCGGGAAGAGGTTCTTTGCACCCCCATGGGTGTACCGTGTTGTTGGTGGTTCCCTCGATGCGAAGAATGTGGCAAGCTGCTGGGCTGAGCTCTGCCGCCTTCACGGGGCTCTCCGGACGACATTCGTATGGGGAGGCAAAACAAGAGGGCTGGTCCAAATCACTTTGGGCGAGCAATGGACTGGAGAAGATCAGTTCTCAGTTCTCCAAGACCCTTCGAAACTCATCCAAACCTTGATCGACGAGCACGTGGAAAAAGAAAATGGGAAGCCATCGGACTTGAGGGTTCCCCCGGCTAGCCTTTCGTTTCTGGAAGCTTCAGACGGCCAGGCAGTCGTGCTCCGAGTTCATCATGCACTGTACGATGCATGGAGTATCAAGATGATCGTGAAGGACCTCAACGAGCTCCTCTCCCTTGGCAAGGTCCTGGACACTCGTGCGCCCTTCGAAGAAGTGATCCAGCAAATCCAGGATTTCAGAAAGCCCGATGCCGAGGCCTTGTATTGGAAACACCATCTGTCACACGCCCAAGATACAGTGCTACGTGGGAGAGCTGGGACCGAGAGTGACGAACCGGCATCCACGCATGACGATTCTCCGCTCGGCTCGCACTTCAAAGCCAGCTATCCTACCGTCGTCCCACAGAGCACTATCAGCACATTTTGGCAGACCGAAAACGGTGCACGCATCTCGGCCGCCATCGTGCTTGCCTATGCCAAGACTTTGGGACACTTCACGCAACGTTCCCGGCCCACCTTCGGTCTGAACCATGCTTCGCGGTCGCTTTCCTCGGTGAACGGGGCGCAGACCCTCGACTTGACCGCGGCAAGCGTTCCGACCCTGACCGTGACGCCGTTTTGCATAGACCTGGGCAGCAGCAATCAACGCTCCGGTGCTTCATCTTCTTCCGTGGAGGGGCAGGAGCAGCTACTGGACTTTGTGCAAGACCATCTGGCACAGCTCAGCAGATTCGCGCAGTCAGACGGTTGGCAACGATATCGCCCAAGGTTCAATGCTTATCTCAACATCGTCAGCGCCCAAGAACAAACGGCAGCGTTTGAGAACGAGGATGACAAGAGCGCGGTGAAAGTAGTGCTCCGCAGGCATCGGCTCGGCGAGCCCCTTGCTTCGGATTACTTCACCGCCACGACGCCGTCATCATCCACGGTTTCTACTATTGAAGGGCTCGAGACGGGTCACTTGTCCCCACATCAACTGTTCTTCAATGCCATCGTCCGTCAAGGCCAGGATGTTAGCGTGGCAGTCAGTGGCGATGAAGGGTTGTGCGGCGGGGGGCTTGCGATGGCCACAAAGCTGGTGTCGTTTTTTGCGTCTGAACTGATCAAAATAATGGAAGGTGCATGTACGAACTAGGGGTTTGCGGATTGATCGGGGGACATGAACGGAACGATGGACGGAGGAGGTGGAGTATGGAGACCATGGGATGACAAACCAGAAATAGAATATCGGTTTAAGGGTGTTTTCCATTTTTTCTTTCCTTTTGGATTGTCAACTGTATATCGATTCCTTCCTTTTCCTCCTAGTTACATGGGATATGTGAGCTAGGGACGTTATCTTCGTCTGAGTGTCATGGAACATCTATATAGGTACCTACATTACATTGGTATGTAACCTGAAATAAGGCCCAGCCTGGAGGTGGAAGATGGTTGTTGTCATGACCACGGCCTAATGAAGCGCCAGGAAAAGAAGCAGCGAGTACGTATGTGCTCGGGAACATGATGCTGTCCACGGTTGGCGTAAGGGTGATAATTGAAAACCGCCAAGTAGGTAGCATGGAGTATCTTAGAACAAAGCGAAGAGCGACTTAGAATACAATGTTAATGCTTCAATCATAAGTTGAACAAGGTGTACATTTAAATTGCCTTCTTGATTGTGAATTCATTGAAACCTTTGTAAATCGACAATAAATATGGTCCACAACCAAGGCCACCGAGAAGTGGACACTGTTAAGGCGAGAAGGAATCGATTACTACACCCACCGTTACATATATAAAGCATACGCTGGGATGCTGGGATGTCATGCGTCCCCGTCGTTGACACGCTCAGATCCTGCCGATCTTGCTGCACCGACTACGTTATTCAACTTTAAACGTCACCCACGCGGCAGCAGTGGCCCAAAGGGCTGGGTCCCGACTTTGACAAAGTGGCACCAACTGGGCGCTTGCAGGGTTATTGCAACACAGAGTGCCAAGGAGAACTTTGAAGCGTACCATTGTGCAACGCTGAGGAGAAAGAAAAATGCCAAGGCTGGCAGTGTATATCGCAAATGGACCAGCCAAGACATAAGAACTGACAGGCGTCGTGGCAAGACGACCGGGAAGGCCCTTGTCGGCTCTTTCCAACCAGGTTACAAGTGTTGGCATGTTATGAAGAGAGACCCTGATGAGGATTGGGACGGGAATTCTGGTGAGGATCCTCATGTGGGTATTATTATGAAACTTCTACTGAAGGTTCTGATGAGGAGTCTACGGACGGGGATTCTGATGACGAACCCATGAACCCATCTACGGGTAGTCGGCGCGTGTTAGGACGCCTATTGGATTTTGGCGGGGGGATGGTTTGTGTCCGCCGAGGGCCAAGGTCACTACTACCATCAGATTTGACCTCATGATGGATGCACCGTAGACAGCATAGTGATGTGTATCGTACTTGGAACATAGTCAGCGTCGCAGCATGGTTTAAAACACAAACAGCAATATATATGTATTTGTTGATAAAATCCGTGCTTTGAATGAAACTCGCCTTCTCGCTTGCCGGTATGTAAATGCAATCTGCGCTCCCCATTCAAGGCCGCCGCCCTCCTTTCCCTCGCGACGGCACTGCTCCATTCTCAAATCACCCTTCCCCTCTCTCCAACCAAGTATTTCCCCCTTCCCCCTTGAATCACCCTTGACTCGACATGGCAAAATACAACAATACGACAGGCCAGCCGCTTGACAGCAAGAAGGCCGCCAGCACCGAAAATAGATTCACGTCTTTTTCGCTGTCCCCCCGGGACCAGCGGCGTAGCAGGCCGATGGCGCACCAGATCATGCCGATGGCGTACAGCGAGCACCCCCACGCCACGCCGAGGATGATGTCGGCGTTGCGGTCCCAGGGGGCCAAGGCCGCGCCCGAGGTGTCGGCGAAGGGCTCCGAGAGAGAGAGGTTCTGGCCCATGGTGCTGGTTGGTGGGTGGTGGCGGTGCCGGTATTAATATGTGGAAGAGATAATGATGATCGAGGCCTCGGCTAGTATCCGGTGGTGGGTCGACTTCGATGGTTCGTGTCTGGGTTGGTGATGGATTATGATCATGGATCGTCGAGGGAATGTGGAACGACTCGAAAGGCCTGGCCAAGAGGTCGGCAGCCAAAGATCGACCAGCGACAGGAAGCAAACACAACAAAAAGTCGGGAAAAAATGAAGGTTGTTGGAAAGAACGTCAGGATGAGAAGCGAAGGGGATTGCGACCAGCGACCAGCGACCAGCACTCTCTTGCCCAAACAATTCAGACGATACGGAGAAACGGTGATGGCCGAAATGGAGAAAAGCGAGAAGGCGAACAAAAAGGAGACCTGAAAGAAGACGGGGATCACACCATCTTGAACCGGTCCTGCGGCCCCGGCCGGGAGATGATGGGGTTCTCAGGATGGGAAAGTCAGACAGAGTCTGGTTGAAGTCCTGGGGGCGATCTTACGCGAGACAGGCTGATACGATTGGCTGCATCGAAGAAAGCTTGTCTCAGATGCGGGAGCTCGGCTGCAACAGAGCCCCAAACCCTCCAAACTTGAGACGGCTTGCCGAATCAAGCCAGTCACAACCCCTGTTCACAAAGTTGAGGCCCAATTCTCGACCGTTCAAGGCGTGTGGAAACGCGCCACGTCTTGGCTTGGCCTGGATTTATGGGCAGTTTGGGGGAACAATGCGTGCATGGAACTTTTAAGCTCACACGTGCTCGTACACTGTTCATTCCATAGGTACGTAAGAATAAATTACAACCATTTTGTTCCTAGACGTCAAAATGATGAAAAAGCTGCTAAGTGCCCATTCACATGGTTGGTCGCATTTCCTCGTTTTACCTTTGCTTGAGGGTGCAGATTTTTGGCAAATGGCAAAGGAAAGTGCCTGAGTGGAGATTCATGGTCGAGACATTTGACCCTCGCCTCCCGGCGTTTCATATTCGCCTCCTGTGTATGAACATGTATACATAACTCCCATCTCGCGATCACCTTCTCCTCCAGCCCGGCTTTACAAAACGAGCATGGTGCGGCATGTCCATTGCCTCACCAGTTTCCTCTCATTAGGTCCGCCGTGAATCTCAGCAACTCTATCAGCCACGTGGATGTTATAGCTCTTAGGTAAGGTAGGTAGCCGAGAATCTTCTAACTAGTTATAGTGGCCTCTATCACCCGACAGCCGCATCCAACGGCTTCTGCGCATGAATTAAGCGCAAGTCAGCGACGGGATGTACGCTCTTGTCACGAAGCTGACGGCGCAGATGCGCAATGTAGGCGTGAATCTCAGTCGTCGACCATCCCATGACTTGCTGGAACATGTACAGGATCAAACCTGTTTATTAACCGTCAGTTAAGCATGCGAAAAACAAAGTCCGACTTGATAACGCAAACCTACCCTCCATATCTTGCTCCAGTGAGAGATGATTATAGGCACCAATCTCTTGGTTCTTCTTGTCGGCAGCCCAGGCCGTGATAGGGACCTGTCGAGGGTCAGCTGACTACACTGCGATATGCCCACCCTGTGCTCCTGTCCACAGATACCCAGATAACAAAAGCGACGCCACCGGTGGATAAGAACCAGTAAAGCACACCCACCTTGAAGTCCTGCTGCACCAGGTCGACAAACCCCGCCGCCTCCAACCCCTTCCTCTGCAGATCCTCGCCCACAACCATAAACGTCCTCCCAAACTTCTTCCCCCCCTCCCGAAACACCTTCCCCCACTGGTCGAGCGGCGACCCCTCGAGCACCGTACCATCGGGCGCGTACATGCGGGCGTCGGCCTCAAAGGTCTCGATGTAGCCGCCGGGCCGCAGCACGCGGTACGCCTCGGCGAAGAGCGCGTCCCAGTCCGCCACCGAGCCGAACATGTAGCGGATGTGCACAAAATCGAAGCTCCCTGCGGCAAAAGTCCACGGCTGCGTCGCGTCTTCCATCTCGAACTGGAGGTTTGGGGGGACCCAGCCGGGTTGGATGGGGGAGATGTCGGTGCCGATCACCTCGACGCCGGGGTGTGCGTCCGCGAAGTCGCTGTGGCGCTGTTGTTAGTCTGATCCCTACAATGTGGTGAATCGTTTCCGTTGGCTTCATCACAAGGAGCGGGCTTACATTGCCCATATCCCTATCAGCTTGTCAGTGACCGGCTCGGCATGCATTGGACACAGATTCACCCCCGCATTCTCTGGCCCGAATTCATACCTGTCCCAGTCCCAATATCCAGCACTCTCTTGACATTTGTCATATGCAATGGTGCCCTGTAAAGATCCCCATCCGTAACAAGCGTCAACCCATGGTGACTAATGATGGAGAGTGAGTAAAACCATCAGCCTCCACACACTCCGTCTTCAGGGGGGGGAGCCAATCTCACATGATATCCATGCACACATTCTGCCGCTCATCATTGGGACCCCTAGATCCATCAGCACACACCCACACACACACCCACCTCACCCTCAAACCAGCCAGCCGGCAGTAACGCACCAGTACTCAGCCGGCGTCCTATCGCTATGGAACGTCCGACCCTGAATCGTCCGATAGGCGAGGATACTTGTCGTCAGCGAGTTCGTGGAACTGGCGAGATCCGAGTCGTACGACGAGTCCGTGTCGGTGCTATCGGCTGGTGTGATCGGCTGGGCAGTCGTGCCATTGTCAGTCAGTGTCTGCTCTTCGACCCCCACACAAGCACCGGGAGTGGCGCCGATATGGCGTGGATGGAGGCCGCCCATACTTGTTGTGTCCAGTGCTCCCCGGGCAGTATGTCATCGGCGATGACCTGCCCACCCGAAGGAGACAGGCCGTTTGCTGGGGAGGTCATGCGGAGGGAGAATGATTCGGCTCGGTTCGGTTCGGTTCGAGGAAAGAAGCAAGTGATGGGCGACGGGTTTTTTGTCAGACAAAGAAGTTAGCGGCGCCAACGAGCACACAAATATTGATTGCCTGCCACTGCACTAGTTAACGACCACCGTGTCACGGGAAGTGGGTGAGCTACTGGGAGGGTAGGGAAGGCCGGGAGGCAGGGAAGGCCGGGAGGCAGGGAAGGGCCGGGAGGTAGGGGAGAGACGGGAGCGGGACCGGGGAGGGAAACAGGGATACTGCGCAACGAGGTCGCATGGCCATGAACCAACAACCGACAACCAGCCAGTAGGGACCAGTCCGACATACAACAGAGGGGCGGGGATATGCACATGCCCATGCCCTGCCAGCCAAGCCGGACCAAGGTGACATCAACGGCGACGCCAACGCAAAACTACAGAGGAAGCGTATGGAGAAAGTTCTTAACCGCAGGGAAGGGGCTTCGACGCGGGCACCCAAATCACGTCCGGTCGGAGGACCAGGGGCTGGCGGCCAACGATACTTCGCCGGCCCGTCCATGCCGTCCCTATCGGCGATCGAGCCCTTCTCGGCTTTCTCGCGAACGAAAGGATTGAACAAATAGCGTGGCGCCGCCACTTAACCATTGGTTACATCCCGAGAATGTGATAACTGCGAGGTCGACTGCAGAACACACAATACGATAGCCACATGCACGTTGGCGCAGCAGATAACTTGCTGCTGCGAATCTCGAATGGGAACATGGCGCACCCTCTACACTCAATAAGTAAGACCGGATTGGGTGGTCGGGTTACGGGGAGGTGGCCGAACCGAGAACTCGAGACCCAGCCAGTGCATCCCCAGCTTAAGCTGAGTCAAACCAGGACGTTGTCGGCTTGGGCCGGGGTGGTAAAGTCGGGGTGCAACGATGGAGGACGAGACGACGGAAAATAAACTACACTAGAACAATGAACGATTAGGCATTTTATTTCTTATACCCACCAACGCCATGCAAACGGAGTCTAGGAATCTCAAGAACGCGCTCCTAAGCGACACAACCTTGTCAGACCCCGACAACACCCACCCCCTTACAACCCAAAACAAAGCAACCTCCCTCCTCACTAGCCACTCAACCCGCCCGTTTCCTCCAACCCCGTCTCCACCACCTCACCTTGCATCTCCCTCCCCCCATCACAAAGTCAGCGCCCTACTCCAACCCCTTAAACCGCCGATTAAACTCCTCCACCGCCACCGCCACCATGCGGTAAATAAACGTGCGCCCACTCTCCTGGCCGATAGGGATAAAGGGCCCATTGGCACCCCCACGCAACGTCAGACTCAATCCCGTGCGCTCTTTCGCGATAGTCTGCACATCCTTCAACGGCACATCCCACTCGGTCTGGAGGCGGCGACTGCGGATGAGGAGGATGCGGGCGTAGGTCACCATGACGACCATGTCTTCGGTGGGCAGCTCGAGGTGGGCGATGTAGGCCTCGTCGAAGTACTTGCCGTTGTCGACCTGCTTGAGCCAGCTCTGGCCGAGCGCCTCGCGCTGCGAGTAGGGGCGCACGACGCCGTCCGAGGGGATGTAGCGCGGCAGGCGCACGCGGTCGAGCTCGGAGCCGTCGAAGACGGTGGTGGTGTTGCGCACGCCCTCCGACACGTTGGAGGCGAAGTCGAGCACGCCGATCGCCGGCTTGGTGGCCAGCCCGACCACGCCCTTGCCAATGCCCTTGAAGAAGCCGAGGGCGCCCTCCTGCTCGGCGCCCTCGAGTGGTTTGCGCGCAAGGCCACCGACGCCGGAAGCGACCGAGGTGAAGAGGCTGTTGGCGCCCGCCGTGACCCCGAAGAGGGCGTGCTTCGGTCGGTTGCGCGCGCGCGTGATGCGCCGCCGGTCTTGGAATTGTTTGTCCATGGTTGCCGCCGCGAGGCCCTTGGCAAAGCTGCCCGTGACTTTGGAGAAGGAGTCGCTGAAGCCGTAGACGGACTTTTTGAAGAAGGAACCGGCGCCTCGGGCGAGGCCTAAGCCAAAGTCCTCTGGTTTGTCGGACATGATGAGGCCCTGGTACGGCTCGTAAAAGATATCGGCAAAGCCCGAGCTGATGTTGTTGAAGAGTCCTACGGGATTGCCGAGGAAGTCAGCGCTGCCCAGGATCTTGTGGATCTGGTACAGGGCCTCCTGGCTGTAGTGATTCGAGATGTTCTGTACAAGCACCGGTATCGAGACCCGCACATTCTCGAGCATCAATGCGTTAAACCTGACTGGCGCGTCGTTGATGTTCCCGAGGGCCATCGTCATGACGTTGAAGAAGAACATGACCGGGTTCTTGGATGACGTCTTGTCCTCCACATTGACTCTCTCAGTCCGTACAAACGAGAGATCCAACTGCATCGGCTGAATGTTGAGGACCTCAAAGTAGATATCTCTACCGGACTGTTGTTGTTTCGGTTGCGGAATGTCAATATTGTCATCGCATAGCTTATCCTCTTCTGCCGTTGACGACCAGGAAGCGCCAGGGATCTTGGAAAACTCCAAAACCGCGTAGATGAAATCCTCATCTAGTTCCACCGTCATCTCCTGGAGAAGAACGGTGGCGTACTTGATGTACTCGACACCGTACGACTCATCCTTGACTCGCGTGACCATGGCATGCAACGACGGGTGCGCCTCGATCTCCTGCGCCCTCTTTGGCACCACACTAGGGTAAAGAATCATCGGGAAGATGCCGCCATAGAGCTGATTGTCGATTTGGATCCATTTCACGGCCAAGCTCACTGTCTGGTACATGGGCGAGTCGCTGTAGCGAAGTTGGACATCTCGGAAGGTGAGGTACGCCAACTCTTTGAGCTGCGAGTTAATGAGCGAGACACCAATGCCGGACAACCGCAGTTGCGCGCTGAAGGTGGTGTTCGTGTCAAGCTGCTTCGCTTCAAAACCCTCCCGACTGCTAGTCGACCCTACATTGGACCGTTGCCGGTAAAGACTCTTGGATTGTTTGAAGTTAGACAGGATCAGCGACTGCGTCGGTCCGTCGGCGGTGACGTTGATGTCGATGATCTTTGCTTGGCCGTTGGTGCCAATGAATTTCATGGGCATCAAATTACCGATTTCCGCCAGCTTCACATGTCGCTCCTTGTTGTACGCACTGATGCATACCTCCCTGTGCTTGGCGGCAGGGAAATCCCATGCATACGGCATGATGCTGCGTGGAGGGAGACGGTATCTAACAGCCCGCCATCCGGATCGATCCTCGTCCTCGTCCTCGTCAAGGCGGGGGTTGACCTGATAGAAGGTGAACTCCATGTCGCTCTCGTTACGCATCGAGAACGGCCAATTCCTCTGCTCCATGCTCAGACTCAAGAAGATGGTTGAGTCCTCCATGAGAATCTCAACCCGGATCAGCCGCTGACGTTGACCGGCCTTAGCGATCTTGAGATGCGTGATACCAAGGTCCGAGATATTGAAGGGTGCCGTCCATTGGTTGTCGAATCCGGGGTAGCACAAGCATAGCTGCTTGACGGCACCTCTGTGCAGATAATGCAGCGGCCTGAGTGAGCCGGTCTTGAGAGACATCACGCTTGAAGAACTGGGTTCACGGATGTTGATGTCGTCACCAAGTTTGTTTTGGATGACGTATCTTGGAGCCAGAGTCACCGTCTTGACCATCTTGTACTTGCCCTGACCTGAGTCAACTGTCACACCGACGTGGATCTCGGCGTTCTTCCCCGTGGAATCGAGCACAACCTCGGAAGTGCTTCCGATGGCATCAAAACTCTGGGGTTTGCTCCATTCCGAGTCACCAGCCTTGAGGATAGCCCGGTTTCTGTGGTCATCGCTGTTGAACGAGAACATGAGCGGCTGCGCTTTCTTGTCGCTTCCGTCGGAAACGTCGATGAGTGCCTGCCCCGCCGCCGCCTTCGCATGCTGCATGAAACCCTTGGAGCGAATGCTAACATCCAGTCCGGTCTTGTTTAGAACGACATAGGGGCTGTACACCGTAACCTTGAACGCACCCCCACCATCAGGAATGCGGAAGTAGTGTAGCCTCAGGTTCAAGGTCATGTTATTGTCGTCGCGGCACACTAGATGCGTCTCTTTCTTGAAATCGTCCGTCGGGCCGGCGTTGATAATGGCGAACTCGCTTGGCTTGAACAGGGTATCCTGCATGTCGATGCTGAGGAGCAACAGATGCGACAGCTCGACCACATGGACAGGGCTGACGCCACCCTTGCGGAGAAAGTTTGACCAGTCCTTCTTCGTGCTCTTATCGTAGATTCGGTACTTGAAGTCGTAGGGTAGCAAGTTCTCCAAGGTGACAGGAGCGGAGATCTTCAGACGCATGTATGGATAATTCCTGTTGTTGTTAGCTTCCTTCATCCCTTGCAGACACAAAAGACTACGTACCTAGTCATCGGATTGGACTTGTCCCAGCGTGTAGACATTTGGAAGTAGAAAGGATCGCCATGCTCTCCTTTGCACACCAATGTCTTGGTTGGGCGCCGGAGAAGATCCTTCCACCACAGAGTATCGGTGCTCCATCCATAACCGAAGCCCGGGTCTGGTCGAACGAGCAGGCTCTTCTCGTATACCGCTCCAACCGGTGCTGGCCTGCTCTCGCCGGGCGCAATCTTCTCGATCTTGAGCAAGTGGCCCTCGTGAGCGTCATACACGCCCAGCTCGACAGGCAGATCTGTCTCGTTCTCCACCAATAAAGGACTGCGCAGTGTGACATACTTCACGTTGTCGGTGCCCAGTTTTACCTCAACAAGTAGCTTGTGCAGAACGCCATCCGTTTTCGGCTTCAGTGCATAGAGGAACTCGCCCTCTCGAGACAGACGGATGTTCTTGACCATGTCAAAGCCACTGCCGTCCAACTGAACGGACACGTTGCTGGCACCTGCACCCTCGGCAAGCATGAGGCTCTCACGCAGTTTCTCCCAGTCTTCGAAGCTCCACGGCACTTCTTGTCCATCCGTGAGACGCAGTGTTGTGACCTCTTCGCTGCTCTGCCGCTTGGCATGGACGATAACCTCGAAGCCAGTGTAGTTGCGGATGCGGTAAGGGGCCTCGACACCGCGAGGTTTGCTGAGGACGTCTTGGTCCTGTGCGAAGAAGGCGAAGGACTGGGAGAGCAGAGCGATGCTGGCGGTAGTGACAGTAACATCGAAGTTGCGTTTCGACGTCACATCAACCGACATGGTGCCAGTTTTCTGGTCACGCGCTCCACCGAAGCCGACCTGCCAAGGCTCGATCAGAGGCTCCCAGGCCGATTTGGCGAAGTTGTAAATGTTCATGTACATTTCAAGTGCAGTTTCCGCCTTCAAACTCGACGACCAGTTCTCGGCACCGGCCGTGAAGTTCTTGACATTCATATCGAGAATGGGGAGTTCGTGGACGTCGCCAAGGAGCACCACCCTAACCCCGGCCACTGCAACAGTAAGCTCCTCGTTTCGCGGCGGCGGCTTGACGACGTCGTGGGGTGGTGGGACCCCCCCTCTCTGAGATACTTGACCGGCACTCTTGCTGGTCCGCTTCGTCCTCCCCGCCAGAGTCGATGAACCCTTGCCGCTTCCAGTCCTGTGCTTGAGGCTGGGTGCTTTCAGCTGTTTCGCCTTTTGGTCGGATGCCTTGGGATCAGCGTCCACGGGAGTGCCGCCCGATAGCTCAGAGGCCTTGGTAATCGTTTGCATCACCAGAAGGATGTCCCGTAGAGATAGCCGGAGAATCAGAGGCTCGATGTCGGCATGGATCTTCGTGGTGGCCGGTTGGGAACTGTCCATGGATACTTGAACCGAAAAGTCGTCGATGATTCTCAGGCGAGAGTCGTCAAACCGATCCATGCGGCAGAGGAACATGCCGCACTGGGATACTTGGAATGTGAGGGCGTGCTGTTGAGAAAAGATTACTTGTTTCGTCCCCAAAACAATGGCCTCGGAGCTTGTGCTTAAGGGGTTGGCGATCAGGATGACTTGGGCGTCTACGACGTTGACCCGGTAAGCCAGTGTCGTCTTCGCCCCGGGCTTCTTCTGTTGCGTCTGGTCGGCAGCGGGTTGGATGGCCTGGCGGCTGCTACTCTCTGAGCGCCTCCCAGAAAAGTTGGCCTGCACAGAATCCACGTCACTCATTTCCTCGGGGCTTTCCAGCGGGCTCTTCTCAGGAATGTCCGGCTCGGTAGTTTGAGTTCCAATCGTAACAAACTTTTGGATAGCGAAAAGGTAGTCGAGGGCAAAGATGACACGAGGGCTATCGATGGCAATCATGGCGATGATGTTCCTCTCCTCACCGCCGGACATGGTAATGCTGGCCATCAGCTGCTCGACGCTCGTATTACCGCTCGTCATGATGCGCCGGAACTTATTCGTCTCACGATGGCGGGTGTCGTGAATTGTAAAAGCTTGGATAACAAACTCCGCTTCAAGGCTGCCATTGGAGTCCATCCGCGTTTTGAGTCGGCTGGAGTTGAGGCTGAACTTGGACAGGCTGGCGGCATCAATGTTTCCAACAGGGGCATCCTGTAAGGCGTTGATCAATTCTAGACCGATCTCGTTAACCGTAAAGACGAGGTCAAGCTTAGTCCAGGCTTCGCCGCGGGTCCCGAGCTCTGGGCTCATGTCAATGAGTTGTTCGTTCGTGCTACTGCCCCCATACCCTGGCAACGTCCTGGCACGCTCGAGGGTGGCATTGTCAACATCTCGCTCAGCGTCCGCGGTGTGCTGCTCCGGATCCCCAGCAAAAGCAGCAGGCACGGATTTGGAGATCTCGAGGAGCGAGTTGAGTTGGTAGGGAGTGATGCGGAGATTTAAATCTGTCATCGAACTTTGTACTTCGAGGTCAGGCCGCTTGACGCCGGGCTTATGCTCGGCGTAAGTGATGTTGAACCCGAGGTCGACATGGTCAAGGAGTTCCAGCTCCTCTTTGCGGCCTTCGCTGTAATGGAAGTTGGACGTTAATTTGATGTTGCGGATGCCGGCTGACAACTTCATGGCAATCTCCGAATCCTCCGAGTCGTCAAGCGGCGCGAACTTGTTTTGAGCGTAGATCTCTCCCAGGTATGCCGTGATGACATCTCGTTGAGGCCTTTCCGGGACTACCGCACGAGGGAACACAACGATAGGGGTCTTGACAATAACATCGAACTTGATCCGGCTTTGACTCTGCTGCAACTGGTTGGCTTGGTTGGCGGCGGCCTGGCGGGCAGCGTTGTAGATGGCCTGCATTTTGCCGAACTTGACAAGGAAGTCAACAATCTTGCGGAAGGGCTCTTCGACAAAATTCAGTTTAACAGATCCGGCCCGCAAAAATATCGACGAGTCGTAGCCTGGGTACTGTTCGACCTTCGATGGATCGAAAGTCTCGTAGCGAAAATCGGCAAGTTCGTCACCTTGAATTGTGACGAGCTGCCGCAAACTCGAGTCCTCCGCAACACCCAAGTTAACGTCATCCACCAGACTCAAGTCCCCGAGCTTTGTTGATACGCGCATCGTTCGGCCGAGAAGGAATACACCAACGTCGGCGTGATTGAAGGACAAGGTGGCCAGGCGGATGCCGTCGTTATTAAGGATCAGTCTGATAGTCTTCAGATCCACCTTGACCCTGATAGCACCGCTTTCAGACTGCTGAACCGGTGAGGGGGGTTCAACATCGATATCCGTCTCGGACTCGTGGTCAATGAGAGCCTTCTGGCGGGCGACGTCAGCAGACTGATTGTTGGTGAAAGTGACAAGGATAAAGTCCAGCAGCGTGAGCAGCGTTTTGCGTGTGACCACCAAGTTGATGGTGGAGATAGCGACGTCGACATTGGTCTCAACCCCTTCATACACAGTCATGAACTCCGGCGATTCCTTCTTGACTCTAACAAACTTGACATGGACCAGGTCCCTTGCTTGTTTGCGATCCTCTACATCACCCGATGAGACGATCGACTTGAACTCAGCTGGCGGGTTCTCAACGAAGTCGTCGACGGTAACAGATCCTAGCGTGACGTCCGCGCCCATGTCGAACGGCCTGAGGTGAAATTCGACTCCGAAATTCTCGGCGACGAGCTCAACAAGCAACTGGTCAGGCTTTTGTCTCTGGGGGTCGCTGCGATAAAGGGAGCCGCGAAGTTTGTCGACGGTGAACTTGAACTCAAAAATGCGCTGCTGTACCCGTAATTGCTCGTCCGACGAACCGTCTTTGGCATCCTCAAACTCATCATCGTCATCAAGGTCGTCGTCGTCAATAATAATGGCTTGCTGCTGTGTGGTGAACGGGAGTAGTTGTGTAGAAATTCTTCTCGCGTTTCGCATCCGCGATTCGGAAGATGCGTTGCTCTCAACACGGGGTCTCTTGGGTGGTGGGCTGGCCTGCGACAGCTGGTCCTGATTCCCCCCAAGCTTGGGTATCGCGACATCGATGATGCGCATCAATGTCTTGTACTTGGCGTCCGACGCACTCACTTGGAGAACAGGCATGTGTCCGGAGACCTTCATTTTCGTAAGGTTGGGGGCTTTGGGGAGGATCGATGCCTCAACAACAAAGTCGACATTGATCTTGTCGACGATGTGAAGCATCAATCGGTCGTCCTTCTCCACCAGCTGTTGCTTAGTTTGCTCTACTGACGGCCCGATCAAGACTTGGGTCGATGTCAGCTTCACGAGGAAGCGGTCATACATCAAAGATTCGAGCCGTTTCATATCCTGGTCGGTATGTGTTTGGGCTTGCTTCGACTTGACCTCCTTCGACGTCTCCTTGTCCACCAATTCGCTTGTGACACTGATATGGCCGGCATCCACGATCACACAAGCGGTGTTCTGACTCGTGATGATTTCGGGAACAATAATGAGTGGCGCCTGCAGGTCCAGCTTGGCATTGACGGTCTTGTGTTCCTCGAGGGCAAACTGAAGTCCCGCTCTTGTCTGCTCGCGGAGGCCTTCAACGGTTGCACCGGCGGTCTCCATGAGTGCGTTAATCGAATCCATGTGGCGCTCTGGGGGCCGGAAGAAGTCGACAACCCCGACAACGACGTTCGGGTTCCACACGATCTCGAGCGGCTTCAGCTTTGCAGTCACGGCAATGTCGGCTTGGTCATCCAAGGGGTTTTGCTCGAGTTGGAACTGGAAGAAGGCTTCGTCATTGATCTGAGCGAGTTCGGCAATAGATAAACGCTTCTGTGCCTTCTGCGTGGGCGCATCTTTCACGCGGACAATTTCCTTGTACACGCTCTTTGGCGTGGTACCATCGTTGACGCGGAGACCGCCCAGGCTAAGGTCCACCAGGAAGGAATCGGGCCGTTTGAGGCCCTTAGCTTTGAAGACGTCGAAGTGGAGGCTGATTAGGTCTCTCGCGTTTTCGTGGGGGCTTTGCTTGAGAGTGAAACTGCCTGTGCTCAACGAAGTCTCGATCTGCATCTTGACCGTGTCCCGGGGCTCATCGACGGCGGCGGCGAGGGCGGTTTTCTCGTCCCAGTCAATGACCTCATAGAGTTCTTTGCGCTGCTCCTCCGTGATTTGTGTGTTCTCCATCTCGTCCTGTTTCTCCGTGTTCTGCGGCTTAGCCCCCCACACCCAAGCAATCCAGCCCTGCTGCTGCTCTTCTTGCGGTGGCGGGCGATTCTTGAGAGCTTCGGCATTTTCCTTCTTAAGCTGGTTGCGGGCCAGGGAGCGCCAGAATCGGAGATCCTCATAGCCCAGCTTCCACTCCAATTTGTTCATGTCATCATTCTCAGTGGGCGTGAACTGCTGGTTCTGCTTCTTCTTTTTGAAGAGCTCGATATACCGATTTCTGTCGTCCCTTCGTTCTCTGAAGTAGTCCCAGGACCATCGCCGGTTACGCTCGTGAATCTTGCCCAGCACAGCATCACCGGCGAACCTGAGCCAGGCACGCGGGTCCTCCTTGGGCGTAACCCCCTTTGGTTGGTACTTCTTGTACTCTTGGTGGCGGATGAAGTAATGGAAGAGGTCCACCATCATCAAGGCATCTCGGTATTGGTGGTCGTCCAGGACCAAACCGATTTCGTCGAACAGCAGGTTGGACTTGAACTTGGGGACGTGTGGATCTCCCGTCTTGTCGAGTTCGATCTTAGCCTGACCTGATACTGGCTTTAGGATGAACTGATGACCGGCCGCGACGTCGTTGTCGCTCCTCATGATCATGGTCTTGAAGTTTTGTAACATCTGGTCGTGTGGCGTCACCTCGGCCCCCGGAGTATGCGCCTCACGGCCAGGTCCCATGAGTTTGGTATCGGTGTTCCAGTACACGGCCAAGGATTCCAATGTGGCGAGCTTGTGGGTGGTCTTGGACGAGTCCTGAATGAATGTGGGCGTCCATTCGCCATCAGTGCTGACAGCGCTGAACTCCTCGAGGGTGACGCCGAGGGCAAAGGGATGGCCAGGCGCGGAGATGGCGTCCTCGTAACGAACGTGAATGTTCTTCACGGTGACTTGCAGGTTGTCGACGATTTTGGTGACCAAGCTCTCGGTGAAGCTCTGGGTGCGCTTCTGCTCTTCCGGGCTGAGGCCCTCCTGCGATCTCTCCTTCAACAACTCGGCCGAGTCGAGCTTTTCCATCTTTATCCTCTGTTTCCTGCGGTCTTCCTCCTCTTCGTTGTATTCGGCCTCTTCCTTCGGCGAGGCAAGTAGAAACACATCCTCAATGAAGACCTTGACGGGTGCGCCGCGCAGGTTGGACCAGGGGATGACCAATGTGAGCGCGCCGAGGTGACCTTCGACAACGTTTATGGGGAGTTTCAGCTGGTCGAGAGCCTCGCGGCGGAGTTCGAGATTGCGCAGTTTGACATCGCCAGACCAGATGCCAACCTTGAGCTGTGTTGGATCGAAGTTCTTAACATACATGCCCAAGAAGCGGTTCAGCAGCCCCGCGACCAGGCCTTCCAACATCCTGAATGTGGGGTGCCGTAACCCGGGCAGGGCAAAACGAATCGATGTCTATGCTGTAGTGTTCGAGGGCGTCATTTGCTGGCGTTGCTAGCGTTGCTGTCGGGAACTTGGTGTACGAATGATGCGAGTGCGCTCGTCGTTTATCTCGGTGTATGTGAGGATTCCAGCGCCTTGACCTGAGTCATCAGAGGGGAGAGGAAAACAACAGCGCTAGGGTATACTAGAGCTATTGTACCCTCAATTGTCAGTGAGATGTTTCGTAGTTTCGGGTTGCTTCAGTGGCTTGTGGAAAGGAGGGGGAGGGGTTGAATGGGGCCAAGACACGACAGTACCAACCAGAAAAAAAGAGGAGCAACTCGCAATGGTGAAAAGTCAAAGCACAAAGGCGATGTCCACACCGGAATGCATTGGACAAGAGTTCAGAGGAAACTGGCGGGCTGGTCGTTGTTTTCCAGGCTCTCGCGTGGGTGCTGATGACGACGGATCGTCCCCTGCCCAGTTGCTGCCCTGCCCTTGCCGCGCAAGTGGTGTGGTGGTGCCGGGAAACCCGAAGCTCGGACCATCGAGCTTTGTGCCAAGGACCAAGGAGGGGCATTCGAGGAAGGCATGCTGTGAATGTGACCTTGATCCTAATCATGAAAATACTTAAATATGATTATAACGTGTGTCTAATTCCATGATCAGATAAGGTATAATACCAATTATGTTGGTCACAAAGAATATCGTTGACTTTCAGCGTCAAATTACCACAGTAATTGATGCTTCTGTTTCTTCTCGCCAAGCATCAACTCCACGAGCTCATCATCTACGGGTGGGGTTCCAATAACACCCAATCCCACTCCAAGCTCGGCCGCTGAGCTCCTCGCTGCCGCCAACCATTACGTCATGACCATCGGCGCAGCATGTTGGCGTGCCTACCTGCAACTTGCAACTGCATTAAAAAACATGGAAGCAGGTCACTGGTAGTACTTGCAATCATGAATTTATGTAATGCTTCTGCAGATTGCGATATTAGTAGCCAACGGCCGTACCTTTGTGCGACTTCCATCAACTAAATCCCATGTTCTTTGCTTGCAACCTCCGTCGCGTGTCCCCTCTTCATTCCTAATAACCACTGGCTATCGCTGACCGTCGCCATCGCCATCCCTATTTACTGAGTTTGGACGCGTCGAACCATCGTCCGGACTTTGGCCCCCTCCTCTTTTGAGATTCTTCACGAGCACAGCTCCCAAATCCTACCCACCATGCTCGCCGCTACGATACGGGGTGCTCGGCCCTTAAGAATACAATTCCAAACCCTTACGGCCACAAGCCGGCAACAACCATCCCACCCATTCGCAACACGGACTCCCCCCTCGTCTCGTCTTGGGCGGCGCGCAATCTCCCCATTGGGACCACTCCAGACCACCTTGCGCACACACATGTCCACCAAACCCCCGCTACAGCCGAACAAAATCGATAGGGAGCATGAGAAAGAGGTGGCCCAAAAGAAGCTTGAAGCCCGTCCGGATGAAGTGTCAACTACCTCCTCTGTCCGACACATCTTCGAAGAAAGCCAAGCGCCGCCAGAAAATAACCCGGATATCATGGTAGGGTTGAAGAGTGACCTAGTATGCTCCCCCCTGATTCCCGTCCTAGCTTCTACCCCACCCTCTTCTCACGCTTCGGAAAGAACACAGTGAAAGATACGTTTGCGCTCGCCTCAGTCCCACGAGAGGCATTTGGCCTCGGCCTTGCGGGCACGCTCCCATACCTGGCCACATCCCTTTCCACCGTGATCCTCTCCTGGAACCTAAACATGGACTGGCCCACGCAGTCGAGTTTCCTCAACGCCTTCCTATTCAACCACGAAGCGGCCGCCCAATGGCTACACATCCTCGAGCCAATCCAGGTCGGGTACGGAGCCGTCATCATCTCCTTCCTAGGCGCCATACACTGGGGGCTCGAGTTCGGCGAGCGGCAAGCCGATGAGAACCGCACACGCCTGCGGTACGGCATTGGCGTTCTGGCGCCCGCGGTGGCGTGGCCGACCATCTACATGCCCATTGAATGGGCGCTGACGACCCAGTTTGCTGCTTTCTGCGCCCTGTATTTCACCGACTCGCGCGCGACGGTCAAGGGCTGGGCGCCGGCATGGTACGCGTCATACCGGTTCGTGCTTACCGCCGTGGTGGGCGCCGCGATTGCCATCAGCCTGATCGGCCGCGCCAAGGTCGGCGAAGGGCAGAGCCGTCTCAGGTCAGGCGAGTTGGCGGAGAGCCTCAAGACGGCGCCGATTTCTGTGGGCAAGGATCGTGATTTGGCGAAGGAGGAAGAACAAGAAAGGGATAGGATTCATAAGGAACAGGAGAAGGAAGAAGAGAGGAAGAGGAAGGAAGCAGCGAAGAAGAATGAGGAGGAGGAAAAGAAGGCTAAGGAGGAGGCAAAGAAGAAGGGCGATTCAAAGGATGACTCGAAGAATGACTCGAAGAATGACTCGAAGGGTGAATCGAAGGCGAAAGACCAGGATGCGGGCGGCAAGAAGGAGGAAGGAAAGCAGAACGACGAAGACAAGAAAAAGGACTAAAGTAGGAACTGACCCTCACTAAACGAATGGCCATACGGCGGCTGCCCTCGGTTTCTCTGGGGAGTATGCCCGGGGTGTTGGGGATAGGAGAACAAAAGCCTGCCAGTAAAGGATCACCATCTAAGGGATTCTGGTCGTGGCTATGTGATAATGACTTAATACTTCAACTTAAGAACGACGACGATTTTACGTATTCACGCGGCGATATTTCGCCTTGGATGTGACCAGATGGAAGTTAAACCTAATGGATCCTGCACTCGCAAAGTTAATTATACGATAACTGCAACCCGGGGTTGGTGTCTTGAGAAACAAGCCCAACCAGATAGTCATCTTATTAATGCTCCCTTCTTTTAAGGCAGTAGCTTCCTGAAAACTTCTGAGATAGGTAACTGACATCATACCATTCTATACATCAGTGGAGAAGGGAAGGGGCTAGTCGCTGGCTAACCCCTCCCCTCCCCCCCACCGGATCGAACCCCTGAACTCCAGGCCCTTATCATTCATCCCAGGCTGAGCCATCGTTTACCTCCCATCAACCGCAAGCTCTTGGGTTGGAACCTTGACTTAACTACAATTATCATTACTAATATACATCCTTGACCCCTAACCTTGATCTGTCTTCCCCCTCTTTGAAGCTGTTCCCTCTTGAATACACAACAACCCCACCACGCCTCACCGCACAATTCCACCATGGGCGAAAGGCAACAGCAGACCGCACAACAACCCAATCCTTACTCGCCTCTAGGCCAGCCTGGCCCTCACGGCTATCCCATGCGCTTCGGAGTGCGCCTCGCCGGGTTGAAAGGCTTCAAAATCTACGGCGCCGACCCCAAGCAGCCTTACCGATACGTCGAGCTACACACACGACGCCAGATTCTGCACGAGAGTGCACACAAAAAGGATTGCAGCCCTGCCCTCGTTACCGTCAAGGAGAACTGGCCCTCGTGGTCCCTCTTCCCTCTCGATGACGAGTCTGCCACCTTCACCATCACAGTGCACAGCAACTCCAAGGAAGCAAACACAGACCCAGACGACAACACCACTGCAGAGCCCGAAGCTGCTGCCGACTCCGAAGCCTCCAGCCCGGGGCCCCCAAACACGGAAGCCACTAATACGGAAGCCACCAACACGGAAATCATCAACACGGAAGCAGCCGACATGGAAGCGGCCGACGCGGAAGCCTCAGAGCCGGAAGCCGTCGACCTGACCATCGACATGGACCACACCCGCTGCCGGCCCGTCACCTTCCAATTCACCTTCCCCGTCCCATCCCCACAAGCCGACGGCACCACCACCCTCGAAACATTCGAATGGCGCCGCGCACCCCAAGCCTGCCAAGAAACGCGCGGCATCCGCAAGCGGACTCTCCCCCCGCTCGAGACCGGCGACGACCGGCTACCAGAAGAGAAATTCGTGTACGCGCCGTCGGGATCAGTCCTCGTGCGCCTCGGCGAGGGCAGCAACCGGTGCGCGCCCGGCCGCGACCGGCCGCTGGGGTTCACGCGCGCCGGTGAGGAGATCGTGGCGTCCTACACGGCGTCGCGCGACTACCGCGCGTGGTACTACTTCCAGTTCTGGGGTTCCGGCGCCACGGGCGAGCTGGGCGAGGCGTTCACTCATGTGGCCGTCATGAGTGGTTTGGCGGTGTACCAGGACGAGGAGGCTGAGAGAGCCAAACGGGCGAAGAGGAAGACGGATGTGCACGGTGCCAGGCCGCCCGTTTCGACGGGCCTGCCGTGAAGGACGGATGGGATGGGGCGGGCGCCTGCAAAGGGGGTGCATTTGGTGCAGCATGGTGACCATCCGCCGGGGCATTTGGCGGCGCAGTGTGGGATGCGGTGAGCTCACTACATATAAGGGAGGTTGCGGGTTTCTACCTAGAAAATTAGTGCATCCTGTGCCTCGCTCACCTAGTTCTCCCTGAAGTTGAGGGACTTCGTTGGGTCTCATGAGAGTTGTATTGAAATTATACCTAGAGTAATAACAACGCTACTGCCGGGGATTATTCACTAAATTCTCGTTCGTCCTGCCACTTGCCTTACTCTCCCTTGGCCCCCTCCATTCTTGGATACATTCCCTCATGCTTTTTAACCAACTCCGGGTACTCAGGCAACCTCCATTTTCCAGTGTTGTGTTGGAAGACCAACAGCCACTGATCCAAGGTGTCACACACACAGGAAGATGGGAATTCACACGGCTGAGCCTAAGAGGCTATGAGACTCTGCCAAAGTCAAATTGTCATTGTCCCCCTCTTCCCTCTGTAAGGGGGGTTCCAAACCCGTGATATCTCTCTCTGAGCAGCGATAGTAGCACCGCATGCAACCGCACCTGGTCTAAGCCGAGTGATCTCTCCGGCCTAAGCCGACCGATCTCTTGCCACCACGTTCTGGGCCTTGATCCATTGACCCTCCTGTGCTCAGACCTCCTGGTCTACCTTCCAACAGTTGTCCGACCCCAACCGGGAGACAAGCCAGTCGAGGCGCAGCTTCGTATACAACGAACAAGCCAGTTGCAAAAGATCGATAAACCAGCCACTGCCCGGGCACATGAGGTTGACGGTGCCCTTGACCGAGTCGCCTTGTATGCTGTGCACCAGCGGCCGCAACGTTGTCTCGTATGCCTTCAGCGCGGCAGGGATGCTGTCCCATGGGGTGGGATCCTCCTTCTCGGCGGCCTTGCTACAGGCCCGGGCTATCTCGCCAGCCAGAACGTAGGCACCGCAAAGGGCCAACGAGGTCCCTTGACCGGTAAGGGGCGCCGGGCAGGAGGTGGAGTCCCCGAGAACCGCAATCCTGCCCTTCGACCAGTTGTCGAGCTTGATTTGAGCAAACTGGTGCGAGTAGAAGTCGTTGGCCTCAGGCGAGTCCAGCCCCTGAGCAGTCGCGAGAACTTGAACGAGCCAAGCAGGTCATGCTTGAAAGCATTAACCCACGCCTGCTTTTGCTCGGGGATGGTCCCATGCTTCGTCGCCTTCACAAACTCCTCATCCGCTCCCGCATACCTTAGAAACACCCGCAAACAATCCGGCTTGTCCCTCCGCGTCAAGGAGAACCGCCGTCCACCAAGATGGAGCCACTAAGGGGCTAGCCTCATTGAAGCACCCCGGCTCCCCTGGCAAAGGCTTGACCACATCTGAGTTTTGGCCCTCGGCCTTCTTCGGTCAACTGCGTGCGCATCTTCCCAGGCCTCTCTTCCCGGCGGGCCGCCTTGCCAAAACCTCACCCGAGGCCCATGCACATCTAGGGATGAACATGTTTGGCAAAAGGCTCGAACACACCTCACGTATTTGAACTGTGATGACTTCAACGATCACACCTTGCCAATCGGGATATTCGTGGAGACCCACACAAGGAGACAAGTTTCAGCTTGGGGTTGCATCCCGCTTATGCCAAGTCTTGTCGTGTTGTGCGAGCCCCTGTGGGCCCGGACCTTTTCTGGCGAAAACAAAACACGATTAAAAATTGCGCAGGAGAAGGACGATGCTACTGCCCGCATAAAGCCTCAAAAACGCGGTGTGCTTGAGAAGATCCCCCGGGTTATGATAAGAAAGCAGGAAAAATATGTCAACAAATATTTATTTATTATTTCCTACACCGATATGCCCGTGGGCGCGCCGGTCCTTCTACTGCTATTTACAAAGGAAACCGTACCGTATAGGCCGGATAAAAACCTCTGTCTACCACTTTGAGACAACAATCTATGAATCCGTCATACTGCAAAAGAAAGGAGGCCCTTTGCCGGCCTCCGGGCCCTCTAGCCCTCCCCATCCACTGTTTCTAGCTCCAGCCTTCTGGCCAGCCTGTACTCCAGTAGCCGGCCAGAGTCCATCAGCCAGCCAAGGACCTTCCTAACAAATCTTCTGCTCCGCGCACCTACTCCCCGTAATACGGTTTGTAGGTCCCGATGTGACCGAATCTCTCTGCCGTCCCACGGCCTTTGTAACGGCGGGTCGGGGCACCAAACCACCAAGTGCTCCACCGTCTCCCTGCCTCTCCCGCACTCGCAATAGGGGGTGCGGACCTCCGGGACTTTCACCCTGAACAGGTAGTCCCGGAGGCCTATATCCCCGATACGGGCCTGGGAAAGGAGGGAGCTCTGCGCCTTTGTAAGACCTTCGTGTCTCATCAGAGCTTTGTCGGTAAATAAGAGGGCTGGGGGGTCTTCGTCGGCTATCCTCCTGTTTAATACCCTCTGTCGAGTAGTACTTTGTTGACTAGCTCTCTGTTGTTCCCACCGGGCCTGCCAGGCCAGTTCGACCACCTCCTTGGTATTCGACCCCTAATGTCAACAAATAGATAGTGACGGTCCAGGTGTTATTAACTAGAGCTTGGGGTTTCTTCTTGGAGAATTGTACCAGCCTGATGAGGACTATAGTCGGACCACAAACAACCAACCTGACTCGGGAGCCATTGAGTGCAGCGGCTACTTCGCTAAGTACCCTCGGCACCGATGGTGTAACAATGGAAATCCTGATACGAGGTTGATCAGGCGGAACGCTGCTGATGGAAATGAAGGGCCTGAATTCATTTGAAGGGCAGGTACGTAAGTGCCAGGTGCAGAATTTCATCTTATCGGCAAGGCACTTACGCTGCCCCGGTGGCAGTGGTTTCCAATGGCAAAACCCCTTGCTGATTTGGTTTTGATAATAAGATACCTTAGTGACCGAGATCCAAGTCTGAACTGATGCAGCCCCACCGGCATATCTGCCTGCCCGCATGGCAACACTGCTTGCGCAAGGCAATTATGGGCGCATGACGTCGAAAAAATTGAGATGAAAGCGGACTAAGCGTGCTAAGAATTGCCGCGTATGATCCAACCAGATAAAAGCCGGCCAGGGCCAGTTGCTGGGGGTCAGGTTTTGCGAATGTCTCGGACACCAACAGACAATTGCTGCCGCTCACGGTCAAAAGCCAACACACAGTGTCGTGGCATCGCCGGTTTCCATGGTTTTTCCTTGGAACGCCCCTGGGGAGCTGTTTTCGGGCTTCCCTTCCCCCCCTTGTCGAGAACCATAACATCTTCACCCCCAAACCAGCGGGTTTCAAGGGGCCAGGCAAAAGCGGTTGTACTGAATTTACCCCCTAACTACCCTTATCAAAAATAGTAGTTGGAACAACGCAGTGGATGTCTGCTCTCACGCACACTGGGAGCGAACGAAGATGCTCATCGTGAGTGCCAAACGGGCGCGTGCTGGTTAATCTAGCCGTCATCGCCATCGCAGGCCTTCTCATACTCAGTGTCTCACTGCCGTCATCTCGACTCACCCTCCGCGACCTCGTCACACAAAAGCTCCCTCCGACACCACCTCCCCCTCCTCCTCCACCTCCACCAAAGAATGAGAAACCTCCTCCGCCGCAAAAGAAATACAAACCCACCCCAACCTACCTCCCGCCGCCCATAAAAGACAACTTCCCCCTCCTCGCCACCTCAACCGCCCTCCCCCCCGTCCCAAAATGGAACCAACCGCGCGAAAACGTCCACAAAGACTACGACCTCCCGATGCCGCCACCCCTCCTCATCGGCTTTACCCGCAGCTGGCCGATCCTCCTCCAAGCCGTCGTCAGCTACATCACGGCCGGCTGGCCGCCCTCGCAAATCTACGTCGTCGAAAACACCGGCGCGCAACAGGCCAACGCGCGCGGCCAGCTGACCCTGCAAAACCCGCTCTTCCTCAACCACACCATCCTCACCACCCTCGGCGTCAACATCCTCCAAACCCCCACCCTCCTCAGCTTCGCCCAGCTCCAAAACTTCTTCCTCGCCCAGACCTACACCCACAACTGGCCCTACTTCTTCTGGAGCCACATGGACGTGCTAGCGCTATCCTTCGAGGACGGCCTCGAGGGGGACGGACTGACACCGCGCTACGACCAGCCAGGCTACCGCTCGCTGTACGAGCTAGCGCTGGCGGCGCTGCGGACGGCGCGGGAGGAGGCGGCGGCGGAAGGGGCCGATGAGAGGAAGCGGAAGTGGGCGTTGAGGTTTTTTTCGTACGATCATCTGACGCTGGTCAATCCGGCGGCGTATGAGGATGTTGGGGGGTGGGATACAATGATTCCGTATTATATGACGGATTGTGATATGCATGCGCGGTTGGCGATGCGGGGGTGGGGGATTGAGGATGCGAAGGCCGGGGTGATTACGGATGTGGCGTCGACGCTGGAGGATTTAAGTGCGTTGTATCGCGTGGAGGGCGCGTCGGTTGGGTTTGTGGATCCGAATCCGCCGCCGCCGCCGCCGAAGAAGGGGGAGGGGGAGGGGAAGGCAGGGGAGAAGGGGAAGGGGGAGAAATTGAAGAGGGATGGTTTACCGGTGGAGGATGGGGGGGAAGAGGACGACCTGAATCTCGCAAAGTGGCATGCTTTACGGGAAACAGCCCACCGGATGTTTGGTATGTTTCTGGTTCTGCTGCCCCCACTAATACGGCCGGGGGAGGAGTACTGACTGCGGATATTTGCAGACCACAAGCACGGCGACCGCGAGCGCAACACATGGCAGCTCGGCCAGCACGGCGGCGAAGGCGAGCCTTTTTACTACCACCCTGCCGGTCTTGCCGAGGCGCTCGACCTGCTCACTGAGACTGGGAGAGAGGTGTTTCGGCGGAAATGGGGGCACCGGGACTGCGCCTTGATATCGGCCGCTGGTCGGACATTTGAGGATGCGTGGAAGGTGGAGAAGGATTGGTAACAAACTCGATTTATTGGGACTGGGACTGGATGAGCCAAAAGAAGTGATGAGTGCTTCCCTTGGACTACGGGGAGGCGCCCGCGTTGTAACTCGGAGATTCACAGCCATGTATACCACTACGTATATACGCCCGGGGATGCCCTATTTGCATCTTGCGGGTAGGGCAGATAGCACACCGGTCTTGAATTTAACAAGCGCGTCCCCAATGTATCACGGTGCGTCTGGTGTTCACTCCACTGGCCATCTAGTCATCAGTTGTGATTTTGGCTAGGTACCAAACCAGCTGGTCTTAGATATCAATGGCTTTCACTGCTAAGTGCTGATAAATCCCTTCATCCATCAACCGCGGGCTTGTAGTTCAAACTGTCGTTGAAGATTGGTGACGTCACACGAACCATCGTCCGCTTCGGGAGGTCATCGGACTTTCGGGTAAGGCCCCTGAGACCCTCCGGGAGCCCGCCGATCGATCACATGGAGCCATTCTCCCGTCAACAGCATTACGGCCTGTGATCAAGACCGTTTCTCTTATTTTAATATACTTATTTCTTATCACAACGTTTTATGCAAAGTGGTTCGAGTCAAGGCCTTTCCGGTGTGCAAGGATCTTATTTCCCGTTTTGGTATCTCCGAGACTCCGAGAGGCTGTGGGTGTTTGGTATCTGACTCCGCCATGGTTCGATCACGGCTAGTGTAGAATACCACGACAGTGCCCAGTTTGTCGAGTCAAGGCGGATTAAAAATGAAATAAACTTCGACAACAATGCATTGGCATCGCTTGCTTGAGCGTGACGAAAACGGAAGGCGGAGGGTCGCGGTCGGATGGGCCGGCCGCCTTCGGCCCCTCCTTCCCCCAATGCACATGGGCGATACTGCCAAGTATTATCGGGGTCGCTGTTTCAGGAAGGACATCACCCGAAAGCTTCCAAATCTCGATCCGGTGTTCCTCGGTGTCTGCCCGCTCTTACCGACTCTTCTCGCATTTGTTCCTGGGGTCTTCGTGATTAGGGAAATTGGTGTTGATGTTGACGCAGTCCGAAGCATGTGAACAGCCCCTCTCATTTGCTATTCCTGGCTGCGGGGGAGATTCGGAAAGTGCTTGTCTCCAGTTTTGCCATGTGGCTTTCAATTTCGCGCCTAATGTGGGGGTCCCAGCCCTACTGCCGCCGCAGGAGACGGTGGTGACGGAACGGCTATGGAAACCGGCCACGGAAACGGAGCCACCTGATGGCACCTGAGGCCTAAACTGTCGTGGCAGCCGGAACGAGACCCGAGGAGGTCGCTGTCACGAACAACAAGCAGCCAGCGCATGAGCTGTGCGCCACGATGCCAAACTGCTGGGCCCAGTAAGCTGTCTTTGCAGATTTGGAAAATGCCCAATTCAGGCACATAAACAAACATTCGCCAAACAAGGAGAGGTGCACGCGACACCACTCGAGCAGAGTGAGCTCCTCTTGTCATCCTCGCGCGCCGGGACTTGGCGATTGGGTTGTCGACGAGGTACGCCCACGCGGTATTGTGTATTTTGGTTTTGGTGCTACTGCATCTCATCTGTCCGTCATCCTCGCGATCATCAGGAGACTTTCCAACTAAACGGATGGCAAAGTTACTTTGTCACAATAAGAGCCTGTAAGCATTGCGACCAAGCATCGGGACGCGTGGTTGCGTCATATGTCGCTGGCAATGCGGAATTTGCGGCTGCAACAGTCCAGGCGGATTCGCGGTGGGATTTCCTGTGCCTTTCCTCGCCTCCTTGTATCGGGCGGCGGGCATCGGGCGGCGGATCCTCAAAATACCTAGGTACCTAGTCAGGCAAGTCAACGTTGCGCGACCTTTCGTGTTTACATCTGATGAAGGAGGGCTGCTCTGAATGATATTAGCCGCCAGATCGCGGGGTACCGAAGGTGCGGCTCCGCCATCTCGCTATTGATCTAATCGCCGCTGCGGAGTGATCGCATCCATGATCGGAATCAATTTTTTCGAGAGGCGGGTTCTGATTCATTTTCCCGTGGCGATGTACCCGAAAAAATTGTTAAAACGGAGGGCTTTCTTTCATTGAGCAGTTTGCGAAATCAAGTTCACTGAATTCTTAAACTTGGCCACTCACGAAGACGTCATTAAATCAAGATTCTTTTCTGTTGCCCGCTTGGCTAAAATCCCACAAACGCGGCGATACTTTTACAAGGCAGGCTCAGACAGGGAAGGCGGTGGCTCGGGTGGTGGCCATTCAGCGCAAAAAACCCGCGACACAGCTTCGCGGTATTTTTACAGGGTGCCACGGTGCCCACCTCCCGCCTCGTCTCCGCCTGACAGCCCAGCGTGCCCCACCATTGGGACCCTTCGGTCAGTCGGGCTGTCAATTCCCCAACTTTTTCTATCCTCCAACCCGCGCATCACGAGAAACACCAAGTCACCGGCACGGCGCGTCAAACATCTAGTGTGCGCGTTCCGATACCTATCACAGATCATCTGTTTAAACTCGGTCGCGTTATCTCCGTGTCGACAAGCACCCAACTTGAACAAAACGCATTTGCATAAGGTATTTGCAGGGTTACAGCAGCTGAAGGCAGGGGCCGCAAGCCACCAATTGCCCACCCCCCACGCCACTCCGTTTTCTACCGCCAACCCGGCAACACCCCCTCCGCAAATCCCCTCCTCCGCATTGCCGCGCGTTTTTGTCACACGGGACTTCCACAACTGCGACACATCTCGGCTAGCCGCCCGCGATTCACCATTTGCGATATATACGAGGCAGCCTTTCCGTCTCGACTTGCGCAGATTTTCTTCGGGCTGAACCAGAGCGCGACACGCCCGACGGACCAACGTGTTTTTCGCCCCAGATCGGCCCCTTGACCGCCGTCTTGCGCCCTGGCCAAGCCTTTGCTGACTTGTGTCTCGGCGACTGGTCAGACGGAGCTGCGAAGCCACGACAAGGCACTTGTTGCATGATCCTGCGCATTCACCGAAAACGGTTCCGTTGCCTTTATCAGGCACCCGCCCCCTTGTCCCTCAACACACGAGGCTCCCCTTTCATCCACATTAAGAGCCGCTTTCTTTGCTTCTCCGACAGTACCATCTCGATTTCACCCACAACAAAACCTTAATCTCGCAACCGCCATCAGCCATCACCACTCGCACAAACACTCAACATGTCTTCATCCGAGAGCTCAACACCAAACCACACGCCCCAACCTCGCATGGTTGTGCAAAATCTTTACATCCCCGACGCGGCTGCTGACGAGATTGACTTGGCCAGCCAACCATGGATGATGGCCACCATCATTGATGATGATGACCTAATGTTCGGGGGCAAGCCGCTGTGCGCGTGGTACGAGGAGGACCGGAGGATGCTGAGCTCAGCCATGGACGTGGACGATGAGGAGCCGAGGGGACGGCCGCGCGAGCGATCCCGGGGCAGCAGCCACCACCACCAGCAAGCGCATCAGCAGCCACAGCATCAGCATCAAATCCAGCACCAACATCGCCGCCATCACAGCAAGAAGTCTACCGAGCCAAAACAGTGATCGGCCCCGTCCACAATCCGGGTCGTCACGTGACGTGGCTTGCGCAACGGGACACATCTCACATTCGCTCAATCGCCACCACCGACATCAACGAAGGGCTGGATGGCTGATGTCAGCCGGCATCGTCGCCAATGAGACAGCCGCCAAAGGAAAGCCTTGGTGGCACCATCAATTTGGTCCAGCCGAGATCCCGCTGCCAGTGGCGTCCCATCAGCCGGAACCACGTCGCGACAGGTTACACCGGACCAACGCATCTGCTTTCGCTACTCCCTTGGGACTGTCGGTATCATTTCGCCCGGCCCTTTCATCTTCGTCCCGCCCAACACATTCTTCCGCCACCACCACCATCACCCCTCCGCTTTTGGCGGCCACTCGATTTATTTTTTCTCTTGCATTTGTCGGTTCTGTGAGGGCAAACATCACTTACATTGCCGGCTTACTCCCTTCTCTTATCGGGCTGCATTTGGCTTCTATCATTGTCGTTTGCTGCATGATACCACCTTGACTTTGCACGTTCGACTCGATATCACTGAGTTTCTTTCCTGTTGAGCATATATCCCGGGCATCACATCGACCATGGAACGGTTGGGCGCAGGGTTTGTGGGTTTGGTCAACCCAACTTGGATTGGGCTGCGTTTTTAGAATTCACCGCAGAGTACAGCTCTGTATGGTTGTGCATGGTATTCGGCTGCAACAAAGCCAATTGGGAGGAAGGCTCTATCTATCAATGGGACACAATTGCCATATCATTCATTCCCCTCCACTGATGCTATTGACTGTTCCATGACTGGAGGATGACCAAGAGACGAAGCTAACACGATTAACTGGGCTGAGTTGTCCTGGCTCCCAATAATTCTGAGTATGTCTGTACTAGCAAGCTTCCCGTCCAACTAAAAGAGTCACCAGTGTTCTGTTACTTGTATTTCAGCTTACCGTAAACCATGTTCCCCTCCGCCTCAAGACTATCCGCGGTTTCCGGGTGACTGCGGTCCCTTCCTGACAAAGACCTGCAATCGCAAGTCACTGGACACAACAGGGCGCCAGTAGCCATGCAATGGGTAGGAATCATACTCATTCTCGAAGGTTCTCGCTACTCTCGAAGAGCTCAAATCGCCTCTAGTAGCACAAAGAAAATGTCAGTGTCTGGCCCCCCCATGGTTGGGCCTGAAAAACACAGAGATTTTCCCAACGTACCTGTAGTTCCCACGGCTTTTCCACTTCTCGTTTTCAGGTCCGGTGTTGTCTTCCAAAATCGGCATAGGTGCATCCCATATAATCAGAGCCGGTCTGCTGATATCTGTGATGATCTGTTTCACCGGGATTTGGGGTGCGATGGAGACAACCGCTGTCTGTTCATCCACCTCAAGGAAGCCAGAGAAAGGGTGGTCGACAGCTTCCATTGCCATGGGCCCCATCTCAAGAACGCGCTTCTCCAACTCACCATATGCCGGGTCTTGAACGAGAACCCGAATACTGATCGTATCTTGGAGGATATGAAGAATATGGCGAAGAGAAAAGAGTAGCTTGTGCTGCATCACGCTCCTCTTATTGTCTTCCTCATCCTGTTGGAGAAAGAAACCGCCCAAGCCAAAGTCAACAATATTTCTGACGCGGGGACAACCGAACGGCGCAGAGCGTTGTATAGCTTGCGGTTGTATTCACCCTCGAACCGTCTCCGTGGAGTTTCTCAGAGGCCTGCGAAAGCGTCAGCTCAGGAATAGGGGGAATTTGCCTAGGCATGTACGCTTTCCAAATCAAGGCTGCGCGGTCTGTGACGAACCTACCTCGGGACCCTGTCCTGTTAGGGTTCAGCTTCGGTTGAAGGTAATCTCTCAAGGGTGCTTAGGTTCGGTGCAGCCAAAGGGTGCACAACAAAGACTTGTCTCAACAGTAGGCTCTCGAGCTTGTAGCGAACTGTAGTTGTGATTGCTAACTGGAGAACTCCCAGAGCTCTCCAGAACGAGTGACTATATACTATCTACGTCCATAGGTACCTTCGTACCTATGTTCCCTGGATCGTCTTATCCTCCAGACGCTCCGCGCTGGATCGTCTTATCCATTTCACGATCCCACGGATCGTGAATTCCTCGACACGCTCCGTTTCTCATTGGCTGGTGCCCCATCCCTAATGATTGGCTCGGGCCGCTCCCAGCGCGGTCCCGCATGGCCACTGCATGCGAGCCATATCCGTGACACGGTCCAGTCGTCTAAACAGTTCGCGTTTCGCCGCAGGAGATACTGAATGGTTGAAAACACCACCGTGGCATAACCGGCTGGCCGTTCGTCCTGGGCCCACTGGACGCGCTTCCCTTCCTATGTTAGAAGCCACATGGACGCGTCTCCGGATCGCTAGAGCGCATCGTAGCCTTCTGATGCCTGTTTTAAAAGCAACATGTCATACAGCTCTTGTGCCTTATATTGGGCGAGGATCTTCTTTTCCTCGGCCTCGGCTTCGGCCGTGCGCGTCGTGGGGGATGCCATGGTATGAAGCTTGAAGTCTTTGGTTAGTTTCATGCGTTGGTGGTGCGGCGAGCGAAATATCTGTACTCACACTTGTAAGATGCACCGACTGTTCGTTTGTCCGACGGAGAATAAGTGACTGGTCTTGTTTAGCTTTTAGCTTTCGTTCTCACAAACAGGCTGACGATGGCCACCAAGTCCAGTTTCGTGAATTTCCCAGTCAGGCGGGAAGAAAAGTGCTGCTCCAGAATTTGAACCGGGGATGGGCTTGCCTTGGAAACATTGTCCGAGCGGTTCTTGGGGTCGGTAAGGCGAGGCAGGCACCATGAACAGAGTTTTGGCTCCAGTCTGGGTCCGGGTAGTCGCTGCTCAGCAAGCTGACATAGATAGGCTGTGTCAGGAGCATTTCACTCATACGACTAGAATTCCGGGCACTGGGAACAAAGTATAACTTCGGGGGGATGTCATGTCCCGGCCTCCCATGGCAAAAGAATGTCTTCGGCGAGTGGTATTGTGGAGTATGGCATCGATGAGAATGTCCATAAGCGCAAGTTCACGTATAGCGCGGTTCATGACGGGAGAATCATATCTGAGACAACGAGCCCATGGTCCACCTTGTACCCCTTGAGTCACATGCCAAATCCTTCATATTCGCTGACTGCAAAGTACACGCTATACTGGCATATCCATACGCGCTCGAGTCTCCTAGAATCATGTCCGTGTCCGATGCATCCCCATACCCAGATATCCAACTCACAGCTGCACAACAACAACAGCAAACCACCCACCCTCCCAACCAGTCTCACCACCCCTACCCCCTCCAAACACTCCAAACACCCAAAACAACCACAACGCCCCTCACCATCTCACCATCAACATTGTCACCATCCCCATCCCCCCCCCCATCTCTTCACAAACTCAAAAACACCCCCTCCCCCTCCTCCAACAACACCACCAATACACCCCGCCCACCAAAGTCAACACCCCCACCTCCACCGCCACCGAATACCCCACCAGCGCAAAGAACCTGTCCCCATCCTCACGATGATGCCTCCCATGACGCGGCGGCCGCGCGATGCTCAGCACGGCGACCGTGATCGCGAACAGCAGCGCCAGCGCCGCCGCCAGCGCCGTCAGCACCAGCACCGTCGCGCAGGCCATCTTCCCTGCCCGGGGCCACTTGCGCACGTAGCGGTTGTTGAGGGGGTTGGGGATGGTGATGTGGTGCTCGGCGTCGGTGAGGTGCCGCGCGCACGTCTTCGGGTTGGGTGGGTTTGGCGGCGGAGCGCGCTGCGCATTAGGGGGTAGGTAGGGCGGCAGGCTAGGTGGTGGGTGGTCGGTGTCCGCGAGGGAGGTGATGGTGATGTTGGCAGTGGAGAATGGGGGCGGGGTGGGGGAGGTGAGGTTGTCGTTGCTTGGGTTGCTTTTCTGGGAGCGGTAGGAGGGTGGTGGGTCGCTGGGGATGGTTTCGTGGGGGCCCGTGTTGGAGGTCAACTCGTACTCGTTCTCGGTAGGAGGACGGTTGTAGGCTTGGTCTTGGTGCCGGACGTTTCCAGGGTCGCGAGTGCGAGGCGTGTTGGGTCCGTGTTTGAGGAGCCATGTCTGATGCCTGTTTGTGTATGGAGAGTGCGTAGCGGAAGGGTCTATGATAGGTGTAAAGATTCTATTGCTCGGCATAGGAAGAGGAGGATGAACACGCGCTGCAAAAAGGAAGATGCCGTAGGTGTTGTTATGGCGGGAACTGCGGCGAGAAAACAAGAAGCCCTGTAACCGCAGGGATGGATAGTGCTTTACCGGTTTATAGGTTTATGAACGGAAACTAACACCAGCAAGAGTGATGTCCATGGTGGTGGCTTCCAATGTTCTCCATTCCAAATCATCCGACATCTGATCTTGTGGAAAGGAGCGTGGTCTTTGGTATTAGGTATCGCAAACCACGCCGACGATAGCTGACTCAATATATTACTATTATTCAGAATCAGCTATGACCTAGGGCGTACGGGGCCCTCAACTATTTAGTGTACAGGAAAACCGTGCCCTCCCGGGCCGGGTGAAAAACCCATACCAACAATCAAGGAACGATGCGTTCTGGTGAGTCTGCGTATACAAAGAGAGGAGGCCTCCTGGCCTCCGAACGGGGCGCTTCAGGCCGCCGCTTCCAGCTCGAGCCTCCTGGCTAAGTTGTACATCGGCAGCTTCCCCCGAGTCCATCAGCCAGTCGAAAACTCTCCTCGCGAGCCGTGCAGTCGTGGGATTGATGCCGTGTAGGACAGAATAAAAGTCCCGTCGTGTCCGAATTCTAGTTCTCTCCCATCTTCTAGTCAACGGTGGGGCCAAACACCACACTACCAGGTGTTCGGCAGTCTCTCGTCCCTCGCCACACTCGCAGGCAGGAGTCAGAACCTCCGGGACTCCCCGTGTAAACAAGAAGTCCCGTAAGCCTATTGCTCCCGTCCGGATTTGAATCAGCAGTGAGCTCTTCGCCTTGCTGAGACCGTCGTGCCTCCTTAGGGTTTCGTTCCGGAATAGCGTCTCCTGCTGATGGTCAAAGTCGTCCGCCGGCCTGAGTGATTGCCCTGCCGTCCCGTTCCTTTAACCACCTCGCTTTCCAAGCCTCTTCTACTACCCTGTTCGTATCAACGGTCCCCCCCGTCCAGCGCATGACCGTGCCCGCGGCTCTCTCCACCGCCGTAGGCCCTTGAGGTCCCAAGGTTCGCGGTCGGCCCCTGTTGCCCCTCCTCGAGCTAAGTCTCTGCTGTATCTTGCGGCAGGCGGTGAGGACAACGCTCGCCGCCGTCTTCTTGCCGCCTCGACCGTCGTCCAGATCGGGTCGTTGGAGTCGGTTTTCGAAATCTGCAAGCCGTTTGTTTAGGTACAAGTCCAATGGTGGTACCCATGTCTCTGTCTCGAGGTTACGGATGGGGGTAGACTTAAAGGCTCCCGCCACAATCCGCAAGCTCTTGTTCTGGGCCGTTCCCGAGGGCCTTGGTGATGCCTTTCTTTACCGGCTCGCCTCCCACATCTGTGGAGATGTGAAACGATGATGCGCCATAGGCCAGCGCCGACCGGATGCACTTTGTGTACACTTCTCGCGCTTTGGCTAGCTGACTCAATATATATTATTGCCCGATATCAGCATTTTCTCAGCAACACTTGATGGACGACACTGAGCAAGTATAGGGAGGTAGGTACGTACAATGATTCGAAAAACGAACACAACATCCCCTTGAACACAAAGTATTTTACATCGGCTATTCGAGGTGTTTAGCAACTAATGAGGCGTGTTCCAAGAATCACTGGCACCTGGAAACTCCTGAGTCCCGTGGTTGTCTAGCGGAGCATTGCCACGCCTCGCGGTGCGCTTCCACTCTTCATGTTTGGCTGATTCAGGGGCACCAAAGTAAGTAAACTGACACTGAAGCTTGGTGTAGTTTGCACTGCGACGGTAAGACGTAAACATTGTACCCTTTCCAATCCATAACCCCTGAGATCTGGGTCGTGGTAGCATGTGAGATGGGGGGAACCCGATTACATCCACGGTGTCCCTGTTAGAGACACGGCTTCTAACCGAACTTTTCTTGGTCAAATGAAAGGCTGATCCAATAATAACCCTGGTAAGCTTAGATGTCTAACTTGAAAAGGCTAGAGGAGTCGATTAGCCTGGGGTCTCTGGAGAATTTTGCGGGGTTGATTCAATGCCGAGGCATGGACAAAAGAAACATCGTCGGGACCGGAGCGATCCCGCAAACTTCAACGCCACGAACTCGACCGCTCCACACTCAATACATGCTTTTAAACCCTTTACACGGCCTTGTAGGTCTTGAACCCGCCTGTTGAGGCAATTCAAGGCCGGTGGCGCAAGATATCTTCTACTTTCCATTAGCCCCTAGAATCAACAACCATGATACTTTTTGAACATAGTTTCTCCGCCCTCTGGGCCCTGACGGTCCGCACTTACAGCCCTCGTCAACTTGAGTTCTGGGGTACACTAGCCGTCCAGATCGTTTTCTTCTGGATCCCGGCCCTCACCTACACAGCTCTGGACTACATCCTCCCTTCATTCTCGGCGCGGCACAAGATCCAACCGGCTCCCAAGCAACCCACCACGGCCGAGATAAAGCACTGCTTCCTGGTAGTCCTCCGCAACCAGCTGCAATCCGTCGTACTCGCCATCCTCCTAGTGGCCCTCTCCATCGCCCGCGATGAGCCCTCCCGCTTCCGCATCTCAGCAACCCTCCCCTCGGGCGCCGAGCTCGCGCGCGACCTGTTCATCTGCTGGGTGATGCGCGAGGTCATGTTCTACTATGCGCACCGACTGCTACACACTCGTCGGCTATACAAGATCATCCACAAGGTGCACCACGAGTTCACGGCGCCCGTGGCGCTGACCGCCCAGTACGCCCACCCCATCGAGCAGCTCGTCGCCAACACCCTGCCCATTGCCCTGCCGCCGCTGCTGCTGGAGACTCATATTCTGACGATGTGGGTGTTCCTGGCGGCTATGCTGGTTGAGACGGCTACCGTGCATAGCGGGTATGACTTTCTGATGGGCATTGCCAAGGCCCATGACGCCCATCATGAGAAATTTAGCGTGCATTATGGAGCGTATGGATGGATGGATTGGCTGCATGGGACGGATGGGAGCAAGAGGAAGAAGGTTGAGTAAAAGGGGGTTTGAAGTGGGTGGGGATAGGAGAAAGCACCACCCAACAGGAGCGGCATGTTTCTAGGATATCAAGATATGATGAATCGTATGAGGAGGTTAATGAATGGAAGAGATGAGGCATGATATTGGAGGGGTATCAAACGCCTTTTTTCCTGGCAAGTTCTGCCACACGCCTATCCCAGGTACCCAAACTTATTCAGGGACCTTGAGGATGTCATCGACCAAGACCACTTGGCCCGTCGCGATCGACTTGTTTGCTGCAATGCCAGTTAAAATCGAGGCCGCCCCGTCAATGTGGCTCGCGGCCCGCATGTACTCGTCGGTGACTGGCTCCCCAAACAGATCCTGCAGCAAGACGCTGTCACCGCCACCGTGTGCCCCCTTGCTCGTTTCGATTTCAATCTCCCTCGGCGGCTCAAATAGCGGCCGCAACAATATCGACCTCTTCTCGATCGACCCCTCCAATGACTGGTCACCGCCCGAGTTGACATAGCTGTTCTCTACAACCTCCATTTCCAACCTGCCACCTGTCCCGTTGAAGGTCACCCTGAACCCCTCCCACGGCGCGTACGCCGTCAGTGAGTACGTCATAACCGCCCCGTTCCGATACCTCACCAGCAAGTTCATGGTATCCTCGATGCTGATCCCGTCCCCAAACACGCTCTGATCGCGATAGTACCCGTCCTCATCCTCCGCATCCAAATACAACGCCTTCAACGTCGGTATCGTCTCAAGATGCAGCGCAAACGGATCCCCCTTCGCAACCTCACTCCCCCGAGCACGGTTATAAAACGCCGTCACCCCCCTCTTCTCCGCGTTCTCCTTCCCATAAAACTTCAGATCGCCCTGCGCATACACCGACAACGGCCTCGTCTGCAACCAAAAATTGACCAAATCAAAATGATGCGTCGACTTATGCACCAACAACCCGCCACTATTCCTCTTATCCCGATGCCATCGCCGAAAGTAATCCGCGCCATGCGACGTATTCAGCATCCACTCAAAATGCACCGACGTCACCTGGCCGATCGCCCCCGCCCGCAGCAGCTCAAACACCTTGGTGTTGTGCGGCGCGTAGCGGTAGTTAAAGGTGACGCGCACGTTGCGCTGCGTGCGGTCGACGGCGGAGAAAATGTCCAGGCAGCGCGGCGCGTCGATGGTCATGGGCTTCTCGGTCACTACGTTGCAGCCGAGCTCGAGCGCGCGCACGATGTACGTGTGGTGGGTGCGGTCGATGGTCGTCACGATGACCTCGTCGGGCTTGGTGCTGGCCGATCATGTGGTCGAAGGAGGCGGCGAGAAAGGTTGGCACGACCCTGTGGCCGAGGGCGGTGAGTTTGCTGTTGGCGTAGTCCATGCGTGTTTGGTTGGTGTCGCAGAGTGCTACGATGCACGAGGTCGCTTGGTAGTCGGTTGCGATGGCGGTGTAGAAGAAGCTCGACCGTCCGCCGGTGCCCACGAGGGCGTAGCGTTTCTTGGTGGCCATGACGATGGTTTCTGAGTTCGACTTCCGATTTGAGAAGTAGATGGTGATGTGATGTATCCAGTCTCAACGAAGGGACGTAGGGCTGTCGAGTTCGAAGGCCTGTCGAGTTCGAAGGCCTGTCGAGGTTGAAGCCAAGCCCGGGGATTTATGCACAACGCAAGCAATAATGCATGGACACTAAGTCCGGTCTGAGTAATAGGGGAGGTCCGCCCACGGACCAAAGTATGATGCCGTTCCCCCGATATCGTGGAGTGACACGCATTGTCTCGGATCGACCCCCCTCTCGGCCGAAGATGGCCCATTCCCGAACCTTAGGCTGAACACAACAGGGTTCAACCAAGTCTCCTCACCCCCCAACATGCGGGGAAGTTACACCCTTTGCGGGGATGCATTCGAGATGCCGTTGTTGGATTCCCCAACTTCTTGGCCACGAGGCAGATCACCCTTACTGCAGTTGGGGAGAGCCACGTGGGAACTTCAATGCCTTCCTCGAGGATACCGTTCTGGATTTAACCCAGAATTAATCCTCCCAATAAGTCATTCCTTGAAGGGACATGGATAAAGGGGAAAACCTGCCGGGCAGACATTCCGCGGGACGGCATTCAAATGGAAAGGCCGAGGGGGGTCCTCCAAGTCTAAAGGAGGGCGGCATGAATGTTGGGGTTGCTGCAAAGCTGCCATGTTACCGGGTTGGCGGACTGGTTGTGGAACGATGACAAACAAGAAGGTATTCACCCCTCTCGGGGTAAAGCACAGCGATCAGCACGGTGCCGACCTGGGTGCAGTTGCCCGCTTCCCGATCGCAGTTCTTATTTTTCCCCGATTGTTATTTGACAGGTCCCACGTCCGTGGTCTCGGTATCCTGAGCGAAATCTCTTCTTACATTTGCTCCTTCAACAATCCTCACAATGGCCGAGTACCAAGGAGACAGAAGCTCCAGCGGCGGGAGGTGACGAGATCACGGCAGCCCCTGACCCAACACGTCCCGAGAAACTAGCTACGAGACCAGGCTACTGAGTTCCTCGAGGCTCATGGTGGTGACCACTCGTTCACGTACGAAGAGGAGCGTGATGTCCTTCCCTTGAATCGACTATCGCGTCCTACCCCTTCTCCTCGGAGCCTACTTCTTCCAGCAACTCGACAAGAGCTCTCTGAGGTATGCACCTCCCCTCCTCCAACCCGACACACTCAACCCCTAACCCACCAAACAAAGCTACGTCTCCATCTTCGGCATCTCGCGCGACGCCAACCTCGTCGGCAAGCAATACTCATGGCTCGGCTCCATCCTCTACCTTGCACAGCTCGTCATGCAGCCGCTGGCAGCCTTCCTCCTAGTCAAGCTGCCGACAGGCAAGGTAATCGGCAGCGCCATTCTGCTATGGGGCGCGTCGCTGTGCATTATGTCCGCCTGCACGACCTTCCCCTCGCTGCTGGGGCTGCGCTTCCTGCTGGGCTCGTTCGAGGCCATGATCGCGCCGAGCTGCGTGGCCGTGACGCAGATGTGGTGGCGTCGCAGCGAGCAGACGCTGCGTACCAGTTACTGGAACGCCATGAATGGGATTACGGCCATTGTTGGTAGTTTGTTTACGTACGGCCTAGGGCACATCGAGAGTCGCGTTATGTTCAAGTATCAGATTATCTTTTTGTTTTGTGGTCTGCTGACGGTGTGCTATGCCGGGGTGGTGCTAGTGCTGATGCCTGACTCACCCATGGAGGCCAAGTATCTTAAGGAAAGGGAGAAGGTCATTGCGGTGGAGAGGCTTAGGGCGAACCAGATGGGTGTTGCATCGAGGGAGTGGCGGTGGGACCATGTCTGGGAGACGCTGTGGGATCTTAAGACTTGGTGCTGGTTTGTGGCTATTGTGGCCATTTCGTATGTTTGTTTAATTCTGACCATTACTGGTCCAGGTGTTGGCGTGGTGTTGACTTGACCCAGGATTTCGAGCGGGGGCATCGGCACGTTTGGGAGCTTGATTGTCAGGGACTTTGGCTACACCAACTTCGACGCCATTCTGTTCAACATCCCGTTCGGCGCCATCCAGTTCTTCATGATTATCGGATCCGCCTGGGCTGCGACGCACTGGCAGAGGAAGGGCTTGACTATCGCCGCCGTCAGTGTGTTGCCTATTGTTGGGACCATCCTCATGCTCACAGTTCCGCGATCCAACCATAACAAGGGCGTCTTGCTGTTTGGGTATTATTTGGTGAGTTACGCCTCATATTTTACTTTACCAATGTTGATACCCTCCCATATCCGGGCTGACACAGGACTGTCAGGTGTCTTGCTTGGCTGCCATCACGCCCCTAATATACGCATGGCAAGCCCAAAACACAGCCGGCGACACCAAAAAGAAGTGCACCTCGGCCATGGTCTTCATCGGCATGTGCACAGGGAATGTCATTGGTCCGTTGCTTTATGACGAGAGTCAGGCACCGCTTTACCGGTCGGGCCTCATCGCGACTCTCATCATGTTCGCTCTCGTTGGGGGTGTTTCAGCGTAAGTTATCATGTTTTCTTGTGCGCCGGAGGAGCTCGAGACGCTAACAAGCTGCCAGACTCATCCCATTGTATCTCATGTTCCTCAACCGCCGGCACGCCAAGCGCCGCGAGGAACTAGGGAAAAGCGCGGCGCTAGTTGATGAGTCGATGGTGTCCAAGAAGAAGATGGAGGACAGCAAAGCGGTCGAGGCCGGGGAGAGTGGCAGACACCTAACGGCACTCGAGGAGGACAATGCATTACAAGACATGACGGATTTGCAGAATGAGGATTTTATTTATGTGTATTAAGTTCCAGCAGCTGGACATATGAGACACGACTTACTCCTCCACTCGTTCTGAGCCCGCCAGGAGCGTACGCATCGGCCCACGCATTATACAGCACGAGGTCGAAATAATGTCCCAATTTCCACGGTGGATAGGTAATTACACGAAAGGAAAGCGGTGTTTTTGTTGGGGCCATGCTAGACGGGCAGTAACTTTCGGCTAGCCGGGCAGTACCTCCCCAAGAGAAAACGCTAACACGTAGATCCTTAATATCGCAGCGTCCCTCAACAGATACCTGATTAATCAAAAGTCCTTTGTAATATCCTTTTTTTGCTCTATTCTATAGTGTAATCCATGTCCTTTTCGGACCTGCGGGTATTGTACAATTGCGTTGTGAAAACGGTACAGCTATTTCCACCTAACGTTTGTTCTAGGTCTAGACTCCCGCTCTGTGCAGCCAATATTCAGCAGCGGCGTGGGCGTTTCCTAGCCCTTGCAGGCTGCTCCTGAGACTCCTGAATACGCGCGACTGGCATCACTGTACGCCCACTCCGAGTAGTCCGCAGAGTCTGATTGGGGACGGCACCCTGACTTCTAGCCGGCCCGGAGATCCTTGGGGCGTTCTCAGGTCGGCGTTCTGGGTCCTTTCCACGCCAAGTATTGACTATAATCTCTGGTTCCGGCTCCGATTCGATTTCAGGCCTGGATTCGAGGTCATCCAGCTGTTCTGGTTCTATCTCCCATTGCGACAGGCGCCGTCTCACACTCGGATTGAGTCTTCCAGCTGATGCGTGGCCTCGAGCCGCTCTTGGGTTGCGGGCGCGCCGACTGCCTCTCCAACCTCGTTGGGACTGTCGGTTACCTCTCTGTGAGGCTGGAGGTCGAAGGCTGACTTGGCCGGGGAGGCAGAGTTCTCTGGTGACTGGTATGGGCTCATTTTTGGGACGCCCACGTCGCCGTTCAGCTGGATTGGGGTCCCTGATTCGAATATATCTCTCTTGACAATCGATCCTCGAATCAAGGAGCCAGCGTGGATCAAGATCCTGCAAAGTAAGAGGCTCCTTATCCTTCAATCGCTGGTGAATAATATGCCGGCAAGGAAGACGAAACTGTAGCTGTATTGTACAGGAATCATCGCAGACTGGGACTTCTTCGGATCCTGTATCGCGGGCATTGTTCAATGCTTCTGCGCGTGCGTTTCTCGCGAGTATATGCTCTAGAGCTTTGAGAAGAGACGGCTTGAGGGAGATCACCTAGGTAATCTTGGGGGAAGTAGTCCATCTTAATCCTCGTCATCTGCTTTGCCACCTCTTGATTGTAGTTGCGGTGCTGATTCTGGCACATTTCTTTGAGAGCCTTTGTCAAGCGTAAGAAATCGCTTTTGCCGGTTACCAGATAACTCTTGATGTTGAAGTTAGAGGACTCGGTCTGAGACGTGACCGATTGGGAGAAGTTCAGGTGCCTCCGAGTACAGTATTCCGCCCATTGTTCTCTCAGAGGGAGCCATTCAGCCTGGAGATACTGCAGGATCTCCTCCTGGTCGGAGAACTCCGCAATAAGCCATGTCCAGATCCTCACAAATTCCTCCTTAGTCTTGGCGCGTACCAGGATCTTCCAGATGGTAAGAACGCCCTCAGCATCGTGGGTGATCTTGGTCCGGGATCCAGGACGATCTTCAGAGGGTTCTTCTGTTGTAAACTATACATCACCAAGACCCTCCTCATCAGCTGCAACTTGGTCGGGCAGGCGAGGCCATTTGCCCTTCTTCTTTGCCTGGAGGAGAACGTTCTTGTTGATATGGAAACGGCACAGCTGTTGTTGGGCATCCGGAAACGTCTCCTTCAGGGCGTCCCTCATCCTTTCGTCTTTATCAGTGATCGTTACGGCTGGAGATCGGGCTTCAAGTTGGACCTGGAGTTCCTTGACTCCCTGAGCAAGGAAATCAAAGCCCTCACGGCGTTCGTTATTGATCAAGCCGAAGGCAACGTTTGCAGTAGAGTTGATATTCGTCTGAGTGGTAATAACAAACAGGGGAAATCCAAGTGCGTTGGTACTGTGAGTATTGTCAAAACTGAGGCAGTCTGGGAAGCGCTTCCACATCTCCTGACACTCTGGGAAGGTAAAAGCGATGCCCAAAAGGCGGTTGGGATCTCGGGTATCCCATTTCGGGACATATAGGACTCCTTCCTGGTCAAAAGCCTTGATCACAGCCCCGGAGGCTGAACAACCATCCTTTTCCTGTCGACGGAATGCCTGTCTGGCGTTGTTGATATCCTTGATGGTGAAGTGCGAATTGGGTTCCTCCTCCTCTACCATCTTGCTAATCTCGCGTGCTTTGATGGCGCTATAGCTGGACATCTTCTTCACAAGGTTCTTGACCGGGGACTTTATCTTCCGGTGTTGTGGGTGAGCCGAGGGATCGAGGGACTTCGGGTGGTTGTGGACGTGGTAACGAGGATCCTTATGATGCCTGAACACCCATCCTTCATCTGTGAGCTTTGCCGATGCCTTGAACTTGCAGCCAGACTTGCGAGTGCTGGACTTGCGTAGCCGGACTCCCTCGGTAGGTCTAGGCAAACCGAAGCGGTCACAGACGATGGTGTAGTAAGTCGGGTTGGCCTGCTATACGGTTGGAGGCGTTCTGGCGATTTACTGCATATCCGTTGGCCTTGCCGTGGGCGTTGATTGCGTCCTGAAGCTGTTGAATAGTATCTGCTTTTACTGTCGAGCCGTCATTGCAAAGGGCTCCTCCCTCTGGGTATATTGGGATGGCATCTTCGTCATCTGACAGGCCGTCCTCCGAAAAACCACCCCATTCCTCGAAATCTTGATCCGACATTTTGTGCGCGCAATTTGGAGGTGTTGCGCCTTTCGTCGACGAGAGCTAGTGGAATATTCGGGTTCATCAGGTTCGAAAAAGTCGGAATGGAAGTTCTTGCGAAGATCTGGCGAGAATTGGCGCGTGGCTGGGCGCGTAAGAAAAGCGCGTTGTTTGTCACGGGTTGTGGAAGGGGACTGCCAGGTCAGGGGTAGCTACTGCCCGGTTAGCTGAAAGGTTACTGCCCGGCTAGCCGAAAGTTACTGCCCGTCTAGCATGGCCCTTTTGTTGATTCCCTATCATATTGTCATTCTTGGACTGCGAACTTGGCCCATCCCGCAACTTACCCGTCACCCTATGAATCCATCAACTTCTGCAACAAAGTACCTAGGTAAGGTACCTAGGTATCTCACATGCCTCCTGGGCACTCACTGCCCATTTCGCCCAATATTTCCATCTTTCCCTAAACCTATAACTACCGACAAAGCCGGTGCCTCTTGGAGGCCTATATCGCCCCTTTTATCAAATCCACAATCCAAACACAGAATATCATCCATTCTTAGTTCAACGGCCTCTCGGCACTCGTTGACCACAGTAACCCAGTAGGCCCTACATATGCGACCTGCTTTACCAGATCGCAATGACAAGAAACATGGTCTTTGGTAACATGACCCAAATGTGCAAATCCGAGCTAGCCAACACAGCAGGTGTCTAGATATCGCCTTTAACACCTCTACTACGAAGAAGTTAAACAACAGCCCCATGCCCATTTTGACCGGCCCAGCTAAGTGGTGTTCGGCCAGATTCATCCTTCGCTTCGACATTAGCACCTTTGTCAAGCAAAAGCGTAACAACAGCCTCAAACCCGTTTTCAGCAGCTTGTCCAAGTGGTGTTCAGCTATAGAAGCCACCTTTGCTTCGATATTGGCACCTCTATCAAGGAAAAGCGCAACAATTACCCTATGGCCGCGCCTAGCGGCCCATGCAAGTGGCGTTTGGTCATTTCCATGCTTCGCTTCGATATCAGCGCCTTGATCCAACAAAAGCCTAACCGTAGCTTTATAACCGTCTTTAGCGGCCTGGGTAAGTGGTGTTTGGCCCAAGATATCCTTCGATTCGATATCAGCGCCTTTATCTAACAAAAGCTGGACAGTAGCGTTAGAACCGTTTTTAGCGGCCTGGGTAAGTGGTGTTTGGCCGAAGGTATCTTTCGCTTCGATATCGGCACCTCTATCTAGCAAAAGCGCGACAACAGCCTCATTATAGCATCCAGCGGCAATGGCAAGTGGCGCTTGGCCGTATTCTTCCTCCTTCGTTTCGATATTGGCACCTTTATCAAGCAAAAGTAAAAACAATAGCCTCGCGACCTCGTTCGAGCGGCCAAGAAAAGTGACGTCCTGCCATAACGAGTCTTCGCTTCGATATTGGCACCTTCATCTAGCAAAAGCGTAATAACAGCCTCATCACCACGTTCAGCGGCCCAGAAAAGTGGTGTTCGGCCATCTTTATCCTTCGCTTCGATATCGGCATCCTTCATCTAGCAAACCCTTGATAACAGCTCCATGGCCAAAATGTGATGCGACAAGAAGAGGCTCTAGCGGTTGCTGGAGATCTAACATTTGCACGCTGGTAGATATTGTACCATTTCGAGAGGCTTTCACCGTGTGGGTTGTAGATCCTGAACGCGCGATGCATGCTGCTAGCAGAACCGGTGGGCTGAGCGTTACGGAAATGGTTAGCCCAGTGCTGGGCCGAGTAATCCAAGAAATCGACACAGGCCCCACTTGGAGAAGTCTCAGGTAAATTGAAGAGATCCAAGTAGGCAATGCAGACCTCAGCAAGGACTTGGTGGGCATCACGGGCTGTGATAGAGTGGTGCCAGTGTAGATTTGGGACGGCGGCCGTCAGTGGCGACGGTGGGGCGAGGAGAAATTCCCTGGCGGTTTGGTGGAGGAAGTAGATCTTGCCATGGTATACCGAGACAAACAGTCCACACCACGACCTCAGGCGTGCTTGGAAATCCTTCTCCGATTCCAAATCGAGGGCCACTGGGCTGCTGGTGCTCGTGTCTGTGTTGACGGCGATATTCATTTCCGATAGCGTCAGAGGCCTGCTTGCCCCCAAGATGATACTCAACACTTTCCGAATCATGGACGTGTCGCGGGGTTTGTTGAGAATCTTCTCATATGCTTGGTTGACGTTGTCAGGTAGCGTTGCGATACTCTCATCAACACCTTTCGGAGTCCTCTTGAAATCAAACTCTTCCAGGTAGTCAAACACAAGGTGCACCCAAAGGTAAATGCGGTGTTCGATTTCAAGTAGCCGCTCTTTCAGGCGGCGCTTGACATCATCTCGGAGCACTTTCTTCCTTGCAAGTTGCTCGACTCGATAATCGACAACAAGGTTCACTTCTTTGGCGATGGCCACTGACTCGTCTTCGCCTGGAATACGGATGAATGGAAAGTCGTTGACGAGATCCCGAAACTCTCCGAGAATTTCCTCGTATGGTCGACAAGTCAGCAGAGTCCGGAGCTTGCCGTGAGATTGCTGCTGCGTGTTTCGGTGGAGTTGCTTCAACTTCTCGGCGAGATTCTCGAATTCGGATTTGAGGCATTCATCAAACGCATCGAAGACTAAGATAACAAGCCCCGTTTGTGCATTCTGTAAAGCGTCTTCCAAAATGTTCCACAATGTTGCCATGTTGTTGACCAGAGCCGAGCCGTCTCGCGCATGTTTTGACGTGGCATGGCGAATCAAAGAGGCTTGTGTGTAAGAAGTTGATGGAGTAGCGCGCAGAGCGCTTGTCTGACGGTGTTCTGGCCCTGGTCCTTGAAAAAGAAGTAGCAGACACTGGCGTTGGTCCTAGGAAGCACCTGGTCGATCAGATATTTTGCCAGAACAGACTTGCCGCAGCCGGGGTCTACCGAGACCAAGAGAGGCCCCGAGTCTTGCCCGAGCCACTGTTTGAAGTTGTCGTGTCCGATGTACCACTGGCAGGTATCTTCCACTCTGTCTTTCACGCGGTCTTTGTACCACTCATACGAGACATCCTTGGTCCCTTCAGCCAGGCGAAATTGTTGGTGGCACTTCTCCTTGTCGGTTAGGCTCTGCTTGACAATGCTCGTCTGGATCTAAAGGGTTTGTTTCGCAACTTGGAGGTGCTCCTGGTTAGTGGCGAGGAACTCCTGCATGGCGCTGAAGTACTCGATGCTCGCCTTGCTCAGCTTTCCCAGCTCCCCTCTCGCCGAGAAAAGCGTTGATACGCCCCAGGTCTCGGTTGACAACATCCTAAAAATTGGTGATTTCAGTCCGCCACTCTGCCCAGTCGTCGCACCCGAGCACATCCTTTGCAAGTGTTTTCCGACGCCTCCGATATAGTCTGAGAACGGATCTGACCTGAAATTCCAAGATCTTCTGATAAAGGCCCACAATGTGGGTGTTGACTTCGGCCATTAGGTCTCTGCCCACAGCGCCGCTCTGCGCAAGACGGAAAACCTGAGACCCAAAAGCCGCATAGTAGCGCATCCGAGTCGCCACATAAATGAAGCCTCCACGGTTGGCTTCCTCGGCGGTTCTGTGATTCGTGAGGAGTGGGAGGACGATAGAGACGCCGGCCCATACAATGGAAGCTTCGGGCGAGGCTTTGGTAGCGAGGGAGATCCAGTCCTTGGCCCACAGCACCAGGTCGGCGGCCTGAGCAATACGATCCCCCACGGCGATTTCGTGACCGGCAATAGCCCATTTAAGTTTGTCTTCGTCCAGCCGCTTTATGCCTCGTTCGGTTATAGCCTGCAATTGCGCCTGTCCCAGGCTGTCGCTCTTGTTGGTACTCGTAGTACCGTTGGCCCCGTCTGCCATAGCATCTGCGCCCGTGGTCAGTTAACAACCGCACAATAGATTACAGGTACCTAGGTATCTTAGGTACCCAGGAGAAAGAAGTTGGCAGGTGGAGGTCTTCCCAACCATTGCCGGCAGCGCTCGCGGAGACGACGGCGCAACCCCATGGCTCTAATTAGGGTTAATTCTAGAATGATTGAGCTTCGAGTATGTCGCGTCACTGGTGGGATGTTGCATTTAGTGAGCACCTCGAGGGTATCGGGTAGAGGAAGTCGAAAAGATAAATGCGGTGGGCGCAAAGTCTGAGGGAGCCCAATGAAGCGACGGCCAGCCAACCATATCGAATCGTCGATCAGCCCTGTTCGCGAGCGCGGCTAAGCCTCTCAAAGGGAAAGGTACCTATGTACATAGTGTACATAATTGGGCAGGCTTGTCCTCCATATTAAAAGGTGCGCAGGGCCCTTATGCATGTGTGATGCTGTCCGTAAAAGTTGCCATGTCATCGTCGGAGCTTGGTGCCTGTGTGGCCGGCCGCCGATAAGCCCCCGTTCATAGATGGGCGCGGGCTTTCAATAGCACCCGACTACGGTGTGACTGCCCGGGGGGTTGCCGTGGCTTGCGCTGTGTGGGCCCGTAACCTCCGGGGTGTATGTAGGTACCTAGTTCCCTCTTCTACTCAGGCCACCCGTACTGGCTCTCCCAGTTGGCGCCCAGGTGACACACTGTATTCTTGCTTTAGAAGGGTTCGTGGTAAATAAGCGTCCACATCGGCAGTTATTACTCCTATTTCAATGCGTTCATCTGCCGTGGTGTTGGGATCAGTCAGATTGGGGCACAGTACTGGCTTGAACCGATCGTTGCTCAGAGTCGGATCAAATCTAATTTGTGTGTTCGCTGCTGTAATGAACCTAGGAGGCGCAGTTCTCTTGATTGATGACCTGTGCAAGGTACGGAGGAACTGAAGGAGGGCGTAAGGTTTGGCATATTGGATCTCGGATTCGGGGTAGGTATATTGATTTGTGCCCGCGAGTATGTATATACATACATTCGTACCAGCAGGGACCCCTTTCCAACCTTCCATCAGCAAACGTGGGTACCTACCTATCTTCACAAGCTCAGAGATAGCTGATACCCAGAACTTGGACTTTGCAAAAAGGATCTTCCTTAACCCATACCACCCAAAATCTGGAATTTACCCCTTTGCCACCCGCTTCCACCATATCTCCGACCGAAACGTAGGGTCATCCGACGCAACCGAGACCAACAAATACGTTGCCTCCTCCCGTTCGTGAACAACATAATTGCGTGGTGAAGTCGACCCGACCATGACCGGCACACTTGCGGCTACCATAGGACCATGTAGGAGTTGACCACGATGCGTTGTCGCCGGCACCGATGCGTTAATACTGAAGAATCCTGCGTACGACATGGCGTGCTTGCCCACCAAGGCCCAATCCGCATCGGCGTCGGTGTCTTTGGGGGGCCAGCGGATGTTCACCGGGCGCACTTCCTCCTCCGTGGCTGCTATATTCGCGGCCATGTAACCCTGACGGGTGTAGGTGAGAAGGCCGACTGGGTTGCTACCCCAGGCGCTGGGTAATTCCGTCCCATTTCGCCAGCTGGTCCGCTGTTAGTAATCTTGGGGAGGAGAAAGGCATGTAGCAGCATACACGGTGTTGTTTATCAGGGAATATGTTCCTGCGAGCGCGGCGATGATATGATCGGTCTTCATTGTGCTGGTGTGGGGGGCAGGGCGGCCTTAGTTTCTTCAAATGTTGGATGCCGGCGTAGCAAAGAAATGGGGCGTCGAGGAAAAGGAAAAGTCTTCGTGGCCGCCAGGCCAAAGGGCGTTTCAATCTGATGTTTATGGCTTTAAAATGCACGGACGTGGGGGAAAATGTGAGGGTGCAATGCAGGTCATGCATGCGACATTGAATGGCCCCATGCGGGTGAGGTTTTTTTGGGACCGAGTCTTCTCATCTTATTGCCGATGACGATCGGCTTTCTTTATTTTCTTTCGCCTCGTTTCAAATTGGTAAACCCGTTGGGATAACACAATAACCAAGCTCGGAATAGTGTCGTTGCATCTTTCCACGGAGCCGGGGCTCGGATCTACGATTGGAGTTAACATGTCGCCGGCTCGGACTGGAGTTGGTGGTGGTCAGCCGCCACATGCAGTTCGCTTGGGCTTACTGAGGTCATTGCAGCATGAAGGGGCGATTCTCACTTGTTATCTGGCCGAGGATAGATTGTACGAGCTAGCCCATGTTTGACAAACTCTTTGGTCTTTCGATAGCGGTCAGGAGGACTTGGGTATCAGCCCTCCCTATTTTCTGAAGTACCTAGATATTTTTAGCGAGATCTAGGTAAGCTCGGCGCCTTGCTCTGGACTGCCCTAACACCGAAGGTAAAGATGGAGACGCTCCCCTTACACAACTGATAGATCGCCTTCAAATACCGAGGTGTGTTATCTGCCTACCTAGGTACCTAACCATACTTCTAGGGCTATCCGCGAGAGTTGAGAGAACTTCAATTCAACAACCTTCCGCTTGAGATTCAAGATGCGGTTCTATTAGAAGCTTCCAGCTCGTCAACCGAAGTAGCATTTGGCATGCCCCTATATCTGTTGTCCAGCTCTTCAGGCTGTAAAGCTAGGTAGGTACATACCTACTGATCAACCCAGAACTATTTTGCCTCGTGTTGTCAGAAGCCTTGTTTCGTGCTTTACGTGGACGGAGAGGTCTTTTTTCTCCAGGGAGGGCATCATACGGAGCAGAGAATCAAAATGCGGTGCCAACGGCTACAGGGGTGCCAATGCTGTGATTATACCTGGGTAGCCAGGGCATTGGCTTGTTGCGGTGGTTCACTTGTTGGACCGTACAAGTGTATACCGGGCACATTCGCATACTCCCTAAGGAGTAAATCTACGGAGCTGCTGGACGCCCTTGAATAGGTACTTACGCGATTTCTGGCACGAAAGAGTGGTAACAACTAGTTAGTTAACGTTAGAGCTATCACCGACTTTACGTCAGCATCCCTGCCCTCTTGAACAACGAAACAAACCAATGGGAACCGCACCACAGCGGCACGCACCCAGGGGCACTGCCACAGGATCATCGGGTCTTCCAGGTCACCGACAGTGTTCTTTTCCACGGAACCACCCAAGCCACTGTAGAGCTAGCGCGGACAGCCTCCACGTACGGTTATCGCTCTTTGCCTCGGGTACGATCTCCATGATCAAAAGAAAATCACATACGAAGTCCCGAAATGGGTGTCAAAGCTGTAAGAAGCGGCACGTCAAGGTAAATACTAAACCATGGTGCACTGCCTCTCCAGTCTTCAGAAGGGACGTTTAGCAAAGCGAGGCTGACCAAATAAAACCAGTGCGACGAACAAGGACCGCCATGTCTACACTGCGTCATGCGAAAAGAGCCCGAGACGTGTACATACCCTTTTCTACGACAGCCCACCGCGCCATCCGGCAGGTCGTCACCAGCATCTTTAGCGGTTCCCGTTCCGGCGGTGCTGCCCGCCCTCCCCCCGAGCACCTTCTCTTCCCGTTCCTCTTCCACCCCCTCGACGGAGAGCAACCGCATTCTCGAGCTCGAACTCATGCACCGCTGGTCCACCCGGTCATGGACCAGCGCCGAGTCCACCCCAGTGTGTCGCGCCTATCTGGTCGACCATCTCCCTCGCGCCGCCCTCCGAAACGGGTACCTCCTCAACGCCCTCCTCGCCACCGCAGCCGTCGACCTCGCCGTGTCCCACAAGACCAGCGATTCCCTCAACGACTCAGCATCCTACTTCCGCACGGCGCTGGAGTACGGCAACAAAGCCATGGCCGACTTCCGCGCGCAAGTGACCGCCCTGACGCCCGACAACGTCGACCTAGTCTTTTACTTTTCGAGCCTGGTGGGTGTGGTGCACTTCTCGGTGCCGCCGGCGGACAAGCACGTCAGCATCATCGACCGCGTGTGCGAGCACGCCGAGGTGACGCTCAAGTCGGGCCACATCGTCGCCGAGAACATGGCGTGGATCCTGGCCGGGCCGAGTCCCCTCCCGACCGTGCTGCGCGATTACACGGTAGACTTGGCGTTGATGGACGAGCTGGACCAGAAGACCCGCGCCGCGTTGGAGCTCATGTCGGCCGTCTCCCGCCTGGTCCGCGTGGCCCCGACGAGTCCGACTGTTCAGGGTAGTGCTGTGATTACTGGGGAAATGCCGGGTATGATGCAGGATGGACAGAGGCCGTTGGCTTGCGAGATACATGTTTATCAGCTCGCCATCGGCCAGACAAAGTATTGTTATGCTGAGGACCTCAGGGATAGGCGCAAGGCCTACTTCCATACAATGTTTGCCGTTGCGGGAGCACCTTTCTCGGCGGCCGTCCGAAACCGGGAACCTATGGCCCTGTTCATTCTTATGTACTGGGGGGTTCTTGTCCACCGAGGAAAACGGGATCCCTCGCTTTGGGTCCTGGTGCCGGAAGGGCGCAATATCGTGGCCGAGAGCTCGTCGCTGGTGCTGTTCTCGGAGATTGTGGATGTTCCGGGGGTACGGGAGGGTATTGCATGGACCCGCTTCCAAGTTGGACTACCTGAACTTCCTGGATGTGTCTTGCCTTCCACGTTGTTGGAGACGGAAATAGTGGCAGGTGTGTATACGGATGCGATGGAGGCCGCGGCTGGGGGCATGGAAACAGGGCAGTAATGATGATAATGGACAGCAGAGAGATAGCTAGCATGTTATTGTACCTATACGTTTTGCTCAAGAGACGGATGGATGTACGGCAATTCAAGAAGGGTTGAACTTGTTAGAGGATAGAGAGACAAAAACGGTCAATGAGGAAGAAACACGCGAAAGAAAAACAACGAAAAGTAACTGTGTGTCCTCCTGGTTATGTTCTCGAATTCCCATCGCTTTGCCAACCACTCCGTGTTCATACATGTAGTATGTGCATTCTATCAAATTCCACCACGCAAGGTCAAACAGAAAGATAAACGACAAACCCGGACAGAAGTCGAAACGAAGCTCTAGAGAAATGAAACGGGTTGGCAGGAGAAAGCACCCAATGGGAAGTTTTGTCAGGACAGTTTTACATCCACCATCTCGGACTCACCCTCCGCTTCTCAGCCGGCGTGTTGTTCTTTCTCTGACCAGCCACCTCTTCCAGCACGTCATCCCAGGTGTAGCTGGAGAAGGGATGGGGAGCATCGCAGACACTTCCGGGCTTGGGGAGCATGCCGTTCTGCCAATATGCCCTGGTAGCCAAGAATCCACAGAGAGAAGGGGCGCCGAATGTGGCGTGCTGTTCAGCCTATTAGTACGAGGGACTCGTCCCGAAGAAAAGACGGCAGTAAGGGGGGAGGAACACTTACACCAGTACCATTCACCTCCAGCACTGCACTCCCCTCAAAGCCCGAGCTAACATTGAACGCGCTCCTCAGTGCGGTATGCGCATCGCGGGTGTTGCTCGCCAGGAGGATCGGGTTCTTGGTCTTGACTTGGAAATCCCCCTTGTAAACCTCCCTCGCCTTCCACGGCCACTGCGTGCAATGAGCCGTGATGGGGCTGACGGTATCTCCCGCAAACCTGCTAATCTCGTAGAGCTTCTTAAAGGCGCCGGCCTGCTCTTGGGCCTCGAATGAATCCAGTCTGACGGTGCGATCGCTGCAGAGGATGGCGTACTGACTGAGCACGATGGGAAAACTGGCGATGGCATACTGCGTCGCGGTGGAGGGCTGTACAAAAGATTGGATGGCGGCCTTGCTTTCGGTTTCGTTTCCGTAGAGGATGGCGGCTAGCGTGGCGGACATGGCGGGCCATCCGCCCACGCTTTTCAGCCCCCCTAGGATGATGCTCTTGAAGGTTCCCATGTCAACGAGGGTTGTGCCCGCTGCGACCGGGGAGATTCGTAGGCCCTCGATAAAGGCCCAGGCATCGTCGTGGAGTTCCGAGGCCGTCTTGTTGAAGGCCGCAAGGGCGCATTCCCCAGGCGGCGCGGTGATGCAGCTGTCGAAGAAGTAGCGGAAGACGAGGTCCGTATCGGACCATTGCTCGTAGTCACTATCAAGGAATGTTAGAAGGAGAGAACATATGAGAAACGACAGGTGAGATGGGAGATAGAGGTAGCAAAAGAGAAAAGGAGACCTACGCGTGTGCGTGATAGTAGTCACGGGTATTGGACACGCCATCGATGATCATTTTGCCGATCCTGTCGGGAAACATGGCTGCGATGGTAGCTCCGAGTGTGGTGCCGTACGAGATTCCTTTTTGTTCGCGTCAGACCGTTTTCCTTGTTTTCACCACGGGCGTGATCCCAAATCCACGGATGAAAAAACAAACTCGGACCCAGACATAGAGTAACACTCACCCCAGTACCGTATTAACCCATCCTCCGAGATGGCCTCGGCAACGCTCAGGATATCCCTTGCGACAAAGGCCGTGCCGATGAACTGGCCAATTTCGTCTGCATTCCCTTCTTCTTTACAAATATTCGCGTCGATAGCGCCACGCGCCCAGGATCGTCGCTCTGCATTGTCCGACTCGAGAGTCGATCCGATCTCGTTGAGGATTTGGCCCATGGTGAAGGTATTGTTGGTACAGACGAAGGGGATCGTTGTGCCGGTTCCTCTGTTCAAGCCACATTAATTTCTCTGTTGCTTTTAGTGTATAAGGGTGGGGAGTTAGGGTAACAAACCGAGGATCGAGCCCAATGAGATCGTATTCACCACCGCTGAGGCTATCCAGCAGAGCCGTTAATAACGTCGCTTTTATCACACCAATGAGGTAAACTTTCTGCTTCTTGTAGACGCAAGAACATAAAACAAGGTGAGCGAGAAACGTACGCCAGCAACAACTCCCCATACAAAACAGTCCCCCCCCGGGCCGGTGAGCCCGGTCCTCCAAAGTTCATCTGGATGCCACCGCGCGACGGCTGGGTAGGGGCCAGAACCTTGACGAGCTGCAAGTTGACAGTCTTGCCCTTGGCGGACTCGGCGGTTCCGGTATAGTCTAGCGGGACCGTCAAGTTTCCGCATTGAAGGTCAAGCGTCGTGTTGAATTCGCCGGCGGGACATGGAGCCCAGTTGACTTTGGGTGTTTCCGCCGAGGCCACGAGGCCTGCTGAGGCGAGGGATGCCAAGTAGAGGGAGAGGAGGCGGGGGGTCATGGTGGTGGGTTTAAGCGATGGTGGTACTTGGTTTGGTGGCAGACAAGAGCGACCCAAAACATGATGGATGGGAGGGTATATATATCTATTCTCGATTCTCAAGTCAGATTTGCCGAGAAGCCATCAAAGCATGTAAGTGAGATTGTGAGGTAACTGTGCAGCTGATGATGATCTCCGTGCATGGCGCTGTAGGTAGGTAGGAACTCCCTTCTACAATCCATGATATTATACCATCTCTTCAACCTTGATTTGATGATCCCATCCTAAAAGAGGATGATCCTGAACACAATGGTCTGGACCAATCCCGCCTCCCACAGCTTCCTTCGACCATGACATAATCGTACAGACACGCGGGTTCCACGGGCTGTGAGAGGCTCTCGGCGTCATGTGGGGCCCGGGACTGCCGGGGTCAAACACGCGTGTCGGGTCATATCTGATTGGCTTACATTGTGTACATGTATTAACCATATTGGGAAAGTCGGGGTTTTGGGTGCCCAGCATCCGAATCCTCACCGGAACCTCAGGTACCTAGGTACTCTCAACCCTGTTTTGTTTCTTGGGCTCGAGAGAAACTCGCCTACATGGTTGGGAAGTTTTACCATGTGAGATTAATTGATTCGACCTGAGAGGCACCTCCGTACATTGACGAAGCGACGGGGGGAGAACTAGTATGCGGATGTCAAGATGGCCACTCACCCTTCAACCTCATAGGTGTTCTGCCGCGTTCAGGATCTGGTTTGGGAGGGCTGTTGGCATATGGGAGAGTGTAGGGTCTTTGCGAGAATTGGTTCAGCACGGTGCCATAGTTCACAGCTAAGCCAACTCCAGCGCCGAGTTCAAAATTCAAAGACGCTGTAGGTGCACGAGCTCCGAATAACCTCACCATTAAAGGCACGGAAAAGAGGGAACGGTGACCGGTACATCAAAAAGCCCAGAGTCCAGCCTCCGCATCGTCTACTATAACTACCTTACATAGGCACCTGTCATGTTGGGGCTCCCTAAGCTACCGTCCATAATGTGGCGCAGTCGCTTCACCTGCATAAGGCAGATTTGACAACATCAATACAAATTTCCCCGGCAAGAAGGTAAAGTAGGTAATTTCTCTTACATTTGTATCATTTTCCCATCGCCCGTTACATATGGATTCCGAATCTATTTCTCGCCCTCGCCCGGCTTTTCACACCCTCCGACACCCCCCGAAGCCGGAGAGCGAGGACATCGAAGCAAATATAGCATCGGCAAGCGGCGGCCAACCCTCTTGGGCCCCCTACATGGGACGCCAGGGGCAGGAAAATGGGCGGAATGGTATGCCCGCTAATGGGGTTTGGTGGCTGTTCTGGTTTGTTTTGCCCATACTGCATTCTCTCTAAGATCGTTTATTGACTCCAAGAAATCGCCAGGCGTCGTCGCCTACAACCCCCCGACAGGCCACTACTACCGATCAATACTAGAAAAGAGACCGTGCCTCCCATCGCAAATCCACGATCCTCTCCAACCGGCCAGAGCACCGGTGAAGAAGTGGGACTGACATCGGCTGCGTCAACACAACGTAAATCACAGCGTCCACTTCGTCAAGAGGCTTGGAATGCCTACGGGTTGAAGCCACCATCAGAAGAAGAGCAAGAGTCTGCTGCAGAGGACACCTTGGTGGATGTGGACAACATATGGGTGGATGCGGACAACAGATGGGTGTTCCTGTGCCACGGTAACGACGGTCAGGGCATCGCCTACCCCGTGCGTATGGAAGCATTTGACGCAGAGACGCAGTGGCGCCAATTGCGGGATGCCTGGGATACAAAAAGAGGCAACAGACGGCTGAGACGACTCATACATCCTCTGGGGTTTGGCGTAAACAAGATCGAAAGAGTTACTGTAGGGCACCTATGAGTAATTATCTCTGAGATGAAGGAACCCGAAGCTGATGTGCATGTGCGTAGATCTACAAGCAAGGACATCCTCTAAAACCAGACGATGGCTGGGACATAGCTTACGAGCCTTTTGACCTCGCATACGAAGTGAGGTCATTACGAGAAGCAAACCGGGCCACAGACATCGGCAATATCACTAGTCATTATCGCGACGGCTATTCTGTCTGTGGCTATGATCCCGATGGGGTCTTCGTACGTCGATGCCCCGTCTGGGAAGATGACCCTCTTGCCTGCTGTGAGGCCTCCGCTCATTTCCAGAGACGCGTAGAGATAGGAGAGCTCCAAATGGTTCCACGCTATGCTAAATTCCTCCACAATCCAAAATCTGCCGTTGGCTCGTGTGCATCACTGCCCTGGAAGCTAGTCTACACGAAAGAGTATGCCCACTAACAACCCTAAGTTCTTCGAGCGTTCTCAAGCAGTGCAGGCTGACGCTGACGAAAATATCAACTTTGTAGGCACATAGCCCAGCAGCTTCAACGCTGTGAAGATGTGGGGCTTTCGGCGGTTGAATGGGAAGCACTCTTGGTTACAGAGGGCTGGACTTTTAACCCCAAATCGGTGGTGTTTCCAGTTCCTGTTACACTGGTTTTGGTGGCGGTTATGGCATCGAGGTTGGTGTACGGAGACTGGGGAACAGCATGGACGGCGGCAAGTTGTCTAGTGGCGGTTATAGCAACTGGCCTAGCGTGGATTCATATGATCACCAGTCGCTGAGCGAGGAAAGAGAACGACTACCTACCTAGGTACCTAGGTAGGTAGGGACTTATTGTCTGGTATTATTTAGGGAGTCTCTCTAATTGTACGGGGTCGCCAACCTAATTGTACGGGGTCCGCACAGACTACATGGATTGCGCCACACCTAAGAGGGGCTAAGCCTCGGCAACCCTCGCCCAACCCTAACCCCCGTTGAGAACCCACGAGCCGCCCCCTTTTTTCCGTGGCCTCTGAGCAACGGCCCCATCATGCTTGCCCCTTTTTCCCTATCGTCCCTACCTAGACAGCGAGAATCTATCACCGCGCCAGCTTGAGCAATATCGGGGGAAGAGATGGCTTGGGGATGTACGATTCAAGATCAGCAGGAAGGCCCTAGGTCTCGTGACCCTACAACACCAGCTCTGCCACCGTCGCGTCGAGGCTCTCTCCAAGCTTACAGAGGCACAACGACGTGCCCAGTCACCTGACGAAGACTCCTGTACAGGGTCGTTCCGGCGCCAGTTTGGCCTTGTTCCCACAAGATTGAGGAGAGGCTCCGCGCTACCGAGGAGCTTACAATCCGAGACACCCACGAGCATTGGAGGCTCGGCAAGGACCTTGCCTCTGGGGACCTCTATCTCCCTATCCTCGAGCCCCTCGCAGTTGTGGTACGTCGTGGAAGACCAGTTATTGGACCCGAGCAGATCCCCATTGCTGCCATCCCACGTGGAGACAACTATCGTCGACGAGCCGCTGCGAGCCGCCAACGTGATCCCTCTCAATGGGAGCTTATGGACCAGGCGGAGATCCAGGGACACCTCTATCAAGGACGGGATATCGAAGTGTCGACACCGACGCCGGCACGAGGACGTGGACGGGGCTCGGGGGCTCGGGGGACTACAGGAAGACGGGGAAGAGGTCGCGGACGGGGACGAGGCCAGCAAAATAGAGTATACGAGACCCAAGGAGTTACAGGTCCAGCGTCTAGTGCAGCCATACAGCTCGGGAGGCCAGAACCGGACACCCCCTTGGCTAGTTGACAGATAGAAATCGATGCCTGAGTTCCCTGGAATAGATCCCCCTCAGGTGTGGCGCAATCCATGTAGTCTGTGCGGACCCCGTACAATTAGGTTGGCGACCCCGTACGATTAGAGAGACTCTATTTAGGAAGTAATATTATTATTGTTTCCTACACCGATATGCCCTGGGGCGCGCCGGTCCTTCTACTGCTATTTACAAAGGAAACCGTACCGTATAGGCCGGATAAAAACCTCTGTCTACCACTTTGAGATCAACAATCTATGAATCCGTCATACTGCAAAAGAAAGGAGGCCCTTTGCCGGCCTCCGGGCCCTCTAGCCCTCCCCATCCACTGTTTCTAGCTCCAGCCTTCTGGCCAGCCTATACTCCAGTAGCCGGCCAGAGTCCATCAGCCAGCCAAGGACCTTCCTAACAAATCTTCTGCTCCGGGCACCTACTCCCCGTAATACGGCTTGTAGGTCCCGATGTGACCGAATCTCTCTGCCGTCCCACGGCCTTTGTAACGGCGGGTCGGGGCACCAAACCACCAAGTGCTCCAATTAGGAAGTAATATTTGAGGGCTGTGTCAGAACTGGCCGCGTGTAAACTGGATCGTTGTACATTGACCAGGTAGGTAGGGAGGCGGGTATCGATCGCTTCAACTTGTTACGAGTCATGTCGAGACGATGACGTGAACCTGTCATTGCCCACCACAGTCTTCATTTCACCATCCAAGAAACGCAGCGTGCTTTTGGTCAATAGTCCGCCGACCACCCGCTCGCACGTGCCAAGGCAAAAAGGCGTCTGTACCACAAAGAGGCAGACGCTCATAGGCCGCCGAGGTCGAGTGGCCTGCGGCCTCGAGCGGGTGGTCGGCGGCCCGTTGACCGGGGCATGCCCTTGCTGTGCCTCAGCCCCAAACGTGAGGCGCTGATGGGTTGCCTGGACTGATGTACCCGCTCTTATGCATCGTTGCCACTGATACGAGTGCCTCCACAGTATGCATCTGCACAGTGCAGGTAAGCCGCAGGAGGCCTTGGGCCACCACAATCCGTGATTCGAGTCAGACGACGCTTATCTCCATCCTCGCAACCTTTTCGTCGGATCTCACGGTAAGAGGCATTGGCCATCTTTTCGGTTCAACTACACAATACCCAAAAAAAAAACCCTCATCACATCCGCTCACAATCGGCAGCCGCTCACCCCAGTACCCCTCACGGCGGTGAGAACGTGAGAGTGTGAAACGAAGCCTCAGTCCATCACGACAGCACACAAAACGATGAAATCCCCTTTAATCTACGCCTCACGGTGTCTCAGCGACATGGAGGACCGCTGGATCCCCTACTCAGCACTCTGGTGGCGCTTCTGGACCCCACGCATCCCGCGCGGTGAACGGTACCAAGAAGGCGCCTTCACAGGCTACCTCAACGACGACGACGACGACGAAGACCCCTCCAACATGGCCCTCCTCGACATCCGCCGCTTGCTCGCCATCCCCCTCATTCGCCGCATCTACGAAAAACTCCCCTACATCGACGTCTCCCCCATCACCCGGCCCCTACGAGCAAATGACCCCCACCCAACGCGACCAACGCACCGCCTTCGTCATCGAATCCACCCTCGCCGCCTACACCTCCGGCAAAGCCCTCTACCCGCGCTCCACCATCGCCCGCATCGAATCCCAACTCACCGCCGCGGGCACCGCCCTCGCCCGCCGCCGCAAGGACTTCAACCCCCCACCCCCGGCGGCGCAACCGCTTCAAACCCCCTCGGCCGCGGGCCTGCGGCACAAGCTCTTCTCGCACTGCGAGGCGCCGCAAAACCGCTCTTGCTTTCCTTCCCGGCCTACGACAACATCACCACGGACGTATCCGACGTGGTCGCCCGGTGCCGAGCTCGCCTACTCCCAGCGCCGTCTCCGGCTTGGACTGGTACCGCGACAGCGAACATCACTTTCCTCAAACGACGCCCCGCCGGCGTTGTACTGCCTAGGTCCGGCTCCAGGTCGAGTTCCGCACCATTTCAGG